GGCCCAAGGCTGGAGCACCTGGAGAAAGAAACGACCCAGAGAGCAGGTGCGTAATTTGCGCGGAGACGAGGGCTTTCCGATCAGGCATAGGCGTTTCCTGGCACGCTTGAGACCCGGGTGTTTCCTGTCTCCCCCAAAATTAGAGCAGGGGGTAGTTACAGAGCAGATCGGTGGAAGCTTTTAACACACAGCCCCCGTGATATTTGCAAACGAGGCTATAGGAGCTCCACGTCCAAAGCTGCAGCCAGCTGTTGCGCAAAGTGCAGTTTTGTAAAAACGACGGATGAAGTTGCGTCTTACCAGCATAGCTTCCTGCCGAGGGGGGTTCCTTAGGTCTGTTTGGCCAGCCTGCTGAAGTTAGCTGTCGGGGTCCGTCCATGAGCCAAGCGCAGTGTCAAAACGATTTTTAAAATAACAGAGAAGCGGCGCTCTTGCAAGAACTGATATACCATTATCTGCTCCAGCCCTTTCCACGTGCGCAGGAGCGAAGAGCGCACAACTTCGCATTTGTAACGGGCGCCAGAAATGAAAGTCGCCTTGCTCGGCTCACATCATTGGTGCGGCGGGTCACGTTACCGGCTGGTTTCAAATTTTGTGTGACAGCTTGGAAAAAAGAAAAAAAAAACCCGAAAAAGGAAACAGGAAGCTTCTCTCTCGGATCTAATTATGACACGTTTGCGGTGCAAAGCGTTTCACTCATCGGGCTCCTTCCTCCAGCCCAGAAGCCTTGCATGCCAAATCACTCAGCTACTTTTCGGGTCCCGGGTATGGGGGGGACGCGGCTCATGTACAGCAAGCATCCCCCCCCCCCCAGAAAAAAACAACCACCACCAACGGAGATCTTTTGCTCCCGCCCAACTCGGTTCGAATCCCCGCGACGGGGTGAGCTCCCATTGCTCGGTCCCTGCTCCTGCCAACCTAGCAGTTCAAAAGCACGTCAAAGTGCAAGTACAGTGGTATCTCGGGTTAAGTACTTAATTCGTTCCGGAGGTCCGTTCTTAACCTGAAACTGTTCTTAACCTGAAGCACCACTTTAGCTAATGGGCCCTCCTGCTGCTGCCCCGCCGCTGGAGCCCAATTTCTGTTCTCATCCTGAAGCAAAGTTCTTAACCTGAAGCACTATTTCTGGCTTAGCGGAGTGTGTAACCTGAAGCGTATGTAACCCGAGGTACTACTGTACATAAATAGGTACCGCTCCGGTGGGAAGGTAAATGGCGTTTCCGTGCGCTGCTCTGGTTTGCCCGGAAGCTGTACGCCAGCTGCCTAGGCCAATAAAGCGAGATGAGCGCCGCAACTCCAGAGTCGGCCGCGACTAGACCTAATGGTCAGGGGTACCTTTACCTTTTTAACTAGAGGTTGAAAACGAAGCGTGCCTTACGCGTGTGTGTGTTGGGTTCCTCTGCCGTCGGAAGCGACCTGAATCTGTTTGCTGGGAATAGTCAAACTGGGGAGCTCAAGCTGGGTGCTGTGAGAACAGGATTCTTGGCTAAATGGGTCTGCGATCCGATCCAGCAGGGCTCTTTGAGACTTCAGGTACTTGCTGCTTTAACAAAACACCAGGATCCGGGGTGGTGGTTTTTTTTTTAGGAGTTCATCAGCTCTCCAAGCGCAACTTGAGTGCCAACGACTGACTGATGGTCAAAGGTCTGGAAGCCAAGCCTTAGAAGGATCGGTTTGGGGGAGCTGGGAATGCTTAGCCTGGTAAAGAGGAGGAAAGTGAGAGGAAATACGACAGCCATCTTACATCGCAAGGGCTGTCACTTGGAAGATTGAGCAAGCTGGTTTTCTCCTGCTCCGGAGGGTAGGACCCGAACCAATGGCTTACAAGAAAGGAGATTCCGACTTAACATCAGGAAGAACAGTAAGAGCTGTTCAAAAGTGGAGCAGACTCCCTTGGAAGGTGGTGGACCCTCCTTCTTTGGAGGTTTTTAAGCAGTGGTTGGCTGGCCATTTGTCATGGATACTTTAGCTGAGATTCCTGCATTGCAGGGGGTTGAACTAGATGATATTTGGGGGGCCCTTCCAACTCTATGCTTCTACTGCTATTCTCTCAACAAATGAAATAAACTTCTGCAATTTAACTATAAATAGGATTTATATAAAATAGGAATGTGACTCCCCCCCCTTAACACTCTTCCTCCCCTTGCTTTCTAAACGTTGCCAGTTTTAACACATGGATTTGCAGCTGTGTATGAGCTGGGCGTGCAATAATTAATTTCGGTGAATTGTAAAATTGGCTAAGCAAGGAGTTGAGGTAGCACACTTGCATAAGTGTGCTATGCATTTGTATACTGTCTTGCTTGCTTAGTGATCAAGAATAAAATACCATTTGGCTGTACATATTTTAATTTTTAAGTTTAAAGCAACTGCTATAGTTTGAATTTTCATTGTTTCTGTTCTCTTTGCTAGCTTTCTTGGTTCCTTATTGCCACCCAGTTAGCTTGCATGCTGCAAGCACAGATACATTCCTAGACTAATATCTCATCAGGAACTGGAGTGTGTAACATAGTGTCATGGTCCGGTTCATGGGTGATCGAAGTCCTGGCTGGGGACGTCGGGACTGGGGGCAAGATGGCGGGGTGGGAGCAGGAATGGGAGTCCAGAAGCCAGAGGTCAGAAAGCCAAGAATCCGAGGGTCAGAGAGCCGGAAGTCAAGAAGCCAAGGGTCAGGAAGCAAGGAGTCACAAAGTCAAGGGTCCAAGGGTCAGGAAGCAAGGAGTCACGAAGTCAGGGGTCCGAGGATCAAGAAGCAAGGAGTCAAACGCAGCAAGGCAGGGAACGTGTTGCTGTGGCAAAGAGCTGAAGGGAAAATGCTGACCTTATATCCCTTCCCAGCTTTTGCCACCAGGTGCTGTGAGTTACCAATCGGCCTCACCTGTGTGGCCTTACCTCCTCAGAACGAACTTAGGAAGGCCCCAGTCCTGCAGTCCTATTGTTCACAGGGACTGGCTCCTGCACGCACACCTGACACATAGCTTAGGCATAGAATGAATATGCACTGCATGCAGTGTGTTCCAGGTTCAGTTTCTGACACCTGTTAAAAAAGGAGAGATTTGGTGGCCTTCAGCTGCGGCTTGACCAGTGGTTCTCAAAGGGTGTGCCATGCCACACTGGTGTGGCAGGAAGATTCAAAGGCCATCAAAGAAACATTTAAACACTAGTATATAAGAAAATGCTTTGCAGAATATGGATAGATACCTTTTCAAAATGAGAGCAAGAGCATCAGGTGATACTGAGGACAAATGTTTTCCAATGTATTTCTTGTCAATTAAAAACTTGGTATGGTGCGAGCAAATTTTTTTATTCTGAAAGCGTGGCCCTGAGAAAAACAGTTCTGAGAACCACTGGGCTAGACCATAACTCAGATCTATGACACTGGCCATGCTGGTTGGGACTGAGACCCACCAACTTCCAGAAGACTACAGGTTCCACAACTGTTGTGAGCATGAAGACCCTTCAGAGGAAGAGGCACAGTGGAACAGACTTCATTGGAAGGTGGTGGACTCTCCTTCACTGGAGGTTTCTAAAGAGGTTGGATCTCCACCTATCAGGGATTCTTCCCTCTGCAGCCACAGCAGGCGCTGTGATTCTCCAGCAGTTTGCCTTCACCCCTGGAGGTACACTCCATTGTCTCTCGAGACAGCCGGATGCCAACAAAAATAGGTTTGGCTGATAGGGTTGTAACTAGCCCAGGTTTTAAAGGATATTCAATACTGGTGCTGTTAAGTTTTTCATATGTACTTTGCAGGATTCAACTAAGTTGTTCCATGCATGGAACAACGTGTGCTTCCTCCTGCAGCCCCTAAGTCTGTTCTGGAGGGCTGGGGGCACACAGGGGAAGAAAGTCCTGTTGCACGAGCAGACTTTGTTCCCCACACACCTTAGCACTATGTTGAATTCCACCCACTGTTTTATACAGCGGTACCTCAGGTTACAGATGCTTCGGGTTACAGACTCCGCTAACCCAGAAATAGTACCTCGGGTTAATAACTTTGCTTCAGGGTGAGAACAGAAATTGTGCTCCGGCGGCGGCAGCGGGAGGCCCCATTAGCTAAAGTGGTGCTTCAGGTTAAGAACAGTTTCAGGTTAAGAACGGACCTCCAGAACAAATTAAGTTCTTAACCCGAGGTACCACTGTACTTTTAAAAACCACCTTGGGTGGGCTATACTGAAAAAGGTGGCTAATTTTATAAATAACTAAGCAGATCACAACATAAGGAAAACTGTATTACTGGGTGGGGTGGGTAGTGGCAGGAAGAAAGTTGAAGCGGCACAGGGCTAAGATTTTCATTGGCACCCCCCTGTTTCTTGTAACATATAGTTCCTCTCTGAAACTGCATGGAACCTGAATTCATCATGATGGATAGCCAGCACTCTCACCCTTGCTACCGTTCTACACCGAAGAAGCATGCATGGCAGTAGTAGTATACTATAGGTTTTGCTTGTTTTGAGCGATCAGACTTTGGAAATGTATGTTAGAAAAATGTTGGAATGAAGTTATATGGCTTTAGTAGAAATGTTATAAGGAATTAAATATAAATAGATTAATAGAGAATTAAAGGGAAAAATAAGGTTAGAATGTGTTAAGATAATTATAGGATAGAAAACAGAGGAAGATGGAAAGGAATTGCTGAAACAATTAACAGAAGTGGAATACGAAAAGGGAGGTGTGAGGAGGTCGTGGAAATAAGTGAATGGAAGATAAGATATTGAAACTCTTTGATGTGTTTAATTGTTTTTGTTTTGTTCTGTTAGTTTAATGTGTTTGTGTTGTATTGTATTGTTTTTGTAGTGTTTAAATTGTTGGAAAAGTAATAAATATTATTTTTTTAAAAACAGACTTTGGAAATATATGTGCAAAGGTGACTTCAAAGAAGACACTGAGCTGAGCTCTGTGTGTTTCTCCCACCTAGAGATTCAAATCACAACATTTAGAAGAAACGGGCAACGTAGCGCTGCTAGTTCAAGGATGCTGTGTCGAAAAGAGCTGTTGACAAATTGATTCCACGTGGTTTATTTTCCCAGTTCATCATCAATCTTTCTCTCTTTCTCTCTCTCTCTCTTTTGGCAAACAAGCTTTATTTACAAAAAGTAAACATATTAATTAGCACGGGCATGTAAACCGTCCAACAATATATAAAGCTCTCTCTCTTTTTTTTTTATCACTCTCAAAACATAAAAAGGGAATGGAAAGCGCCGAGGAAGAAATTTGTAAACTTAGAAAGCAAAGCCTGACTTCATCAATGCACCTTTCGTCCGATGTCAAATGCTAAACGGATACTGGCGTTTTGGTCGCGTCAAATTCAAGTTATTGCTTTCACAAAAACATTGCCTGTGGATTCCCCAGCAACAGAGGGGCGAGTCTTAGAAGGGCACGGACTGGCATTCCCAGGGGCTTGAATTTCAACAGCAATTCAGAGAAGGTTGTGCAACCTAGAAGGATAAAGGAGACGAGGGAAAAATGATTGCACCTTCAAGTAGAACAAATATACCAAAACAGTGCATTTTAGATGCAGAATGGCAACTCTGCTTTAGCACAGAACAGTTCATACCTGTTGTGTGATAGATAGATAACTTATTACAGTCAAAGACCAGCTCACATAACATAACACAATAAAAACAGTGTTCATAAAGATAAAATATAAATTGGAGAAGATTGCAGCAATAGCTCATGAGTTAAAATTGAGATATATACATACACCCATACAACTGAGATTTGGGCTATGATAAAAAATTGACCCTGAGGCGCCCCGAAGGGCAAGTTCAGCATTTCCCTAGCAAGCTATTTTATTCTAGAGGATGTACCTGTTGTGTGTATAAAATGTTGCTGCATTTTACATTTTATTATGTTTTTATATTCTGCTGGAAGCCGCCCAGAGTGGTTGGGGAAACCTAGCCAGATGGGTGGAGTATAAATATTACTATTATTATTATTTGCACTGCCATAAACTCATTTTGTTATATTATTATTATTATCATCGTTATTTATTCAGCTCCTGCCTTCTTGTTCCTTACAACTGGTAAAATACTGCTAAAGAGAGCAACCGCACGTTGGCCAAATGAACATATCGCAATAGCTGATTTATTAAGAGGCTGAAGCTCAAGAGCAGAGCACAAGGCTTTGCACGGAAAAGGGCCCATATTCAGTTTCCAACATCTCTGGGTGGCTCTGATTCCTGCATTGCAGAGGGTTGGACTAGATGACCCTTGGGTTCCCTCCCAACTCTACAACTGTAAGATTAGGCTTAGGTTGAGATGGACCAACTTTTGCATTTTTGTACAGTGTTGGTAATCCATGGTTTTCTCAGTGTTATTTCCCCCCCCCCCCAAATAATCGTGATTAATAGCTGGGTTTTAATCTTACCTTCCAAGCCTCCAGCTAACAGCTGTGCCGGTGTTGGAACAGAATGATATATGAGGAAGCAGGCCAATATGCTTAGCTGAGATTCGTCGGTTGGCTGTCCACTTAAATAGGAGTGCAAGCAGACGTCGCCTCCAGCTGCAACACACAAGAGAGGTGAAGCTGAGATTTAGCAGATGGAAGCGCAGCAAAATGTTGCAGTGTGGAATGTTCCTGGTTCAAGGTTCTGACAAGCAAGGGCATCTATGGATACAACCAGCTCAAGGATATCATGCACTCACTACCTGCTGATTTGCCCCTAATATGCAATGCCCACAGAGAAAAAAATATCGTCTATTCTTAAGTGGTTCTCAGGCCGATTCCCCCCAGGAAATAACTGAAATTAGCTGATAAAGACCTACAAATTACACACCTAGTAGACAAATTTGCTCTGGCAGCTAAGAAGCTATGTTGATGATTTCTAATTTTAAAACTTTTTTGCTGTCATTTTTTTTTTATGCTGTAAAATTCCTCAGGTTATGTTGTGTGGTTTCAGAGGAAAGCCTTGCTCTTGCCCTCTGTCGTTCATTGTAAAGGCCCTTGGCTATACACACAAAAATCGATGATAACCAGCCAGCCATGACCTTCCAAGATACTCCAATCCATTTGCCCTTCTCCTGGTTTTTCGTTCCGCACCGCTCTCAACAGTCAACCCGCATTCTGTGGCAACTGAGCATGCTCAATCCTCACTGCGCTGTTTGGGGTGGGTTGAGCCCTCCTTTATTTTTGTTCCTAAAGTTGTTGGGTTCTGTTTTTGTACTTCTGCACAAAGACAGGGCTCCCCAAGCCTCCTAATCTCTCTCCCTCTTGTGAGTCAATGATGTTGTTCTGGCTACATAAAGGTCAGCACTTTGCAAGTGAGTTTGCTATTATTACACCGGATTTCTTCATTTGTGTGTGTGGGGGGGGGGGTAACAGTTTGATTAGAGCCCTTTTCTGGCAGCATGGAGCTGAATATGCTCCCCCGTCCCCAATGATCAGGACTTTCTAATTTCTCTGTGAGAATAGAGCCCCTCCTTCAGAACTTCCTGCTCAATTGGGGAAGAGGGGGAGCCAACTGAGATGGAGACAGGGGCACAGGGCCTTCTTGGTAGTGGAACGCCCTCCCACCAGATGTCAAAGAGATCAACCACCACCAGACTTTTAGAAGACATCTGGAGGCAGCCCGGTTTAGGGAAGCTTTTAATGTTTGATGCATTATTGTATTTTAATATTTTGTTGGAAGCCGCCCAGAGTGGCTGGGGAAGCCCAGCCAGATGGGCGGGGTATAAATAAATTATTATTATTATTATTATGCCCAGCCAGATGGGCGGGGTATAAATAAATTATTGTTGTTATTATTATTATTATTATTATTTATTATTTGAATGCTTGAAACAGGGCTATATTGAATAGAGGGAAGCCAGGACAAAGTTTATTAAAAATAATCTCATTCTCCAGGAATGGGGGTGGACTTCCCTAAGAAGATGCACAGAGAGATAGTCCAGATCTCTCCCCCCCCTTAATGGCACATAGATGGGGAGTACCCACCATTCCCCCTCTTCTTTCCCAAAGGCCTCTGCATATTGAAATCTACAATTTGAGACAGTAGCATGAATTGGAGCACGCAGTACTAAATGAACCCTCTTCCCTAAAGAAGCATCGGTTAATGCTACCATGATACCCTTTAAAAAGGTAAAGGTAAAGGACCCCTGACAGTTAGGTCCAGTCACAGATGACTCTGGGGTTGCGGCACTCATCTCGCTTTACAGGCCGAGGGAACCGGAGTACAGCTTCCGGGTCATGTGGCCAGCATGACTAAGCCGCTGCTGGCAAACCAGAGCAGCACACGGAAACACCGTTTACCTTCCCACCACAGTGGTACCTATTTATCTACTTGCACTTTTTGGGTTGCTTTCGAACTGCTAGGTTGGCAGGAGCTGGGACCGAGCAATGGGAGCTCATCCTGTTGCGGGGATTCGAACCGCCAACCTACTTATCAGCAAGCCCAAGAGGCTCAGTGGTTTAGACCACAGCACCACCCGCGTCCCTATGATACCCTTTGGTTAGCTGGAAAAAAAAATGCTTTTGTTCTTGTTTTAAATTTCCTAATGTTGAAGTTCTGTTTGTTTTTTAAGAAAAAAAACAATTAGCAGCAGTATTAAAAAAAAGTGGTGTTAAGAAAATTGGTTTGCATTTTTGTTTTGTTTTTGAGATTGTCTATTGGTTTTACAGTGGTACTTCGGGTTACATACGCTTCAGGTTACAGTCTCCGCTAACCCAGAAATAGTACCTCAGGTTAAGAACCTCGCTTCAGGATGAGAACAGAAATCGTGCTCCAGCAGCGGGAGGCCCCATTAGCTAAAGTGGTACTTCAGGTTAAGAACAGTTTCAGGTTAAGAACGGACCTCCAGAACGAATTAAGTATGTAACCAGAGGTACCACTGTATTGTGTGAGCTGCCTTGGGAGTAATTTAAATTGAAGGGTGGCACAGAAATGAGTAAAACAAAATTCTCAGACGTTGAATGTTGTCTCCAACAGTCATTGCATGAGCGGAACAATTTACACCCGTGACACAGAACTTCTCCATCCTCTCCCGCCCCACATGCACCCGCACACTGCCACCCCCCCAGTCTGCTCCGGGAGTTCCCCCAGCCCTCCACACACAAGGGGAAGAGAGGGAGGGGAAGTTCCACTGAACACGTGGAAGTTGTTTGGCTTGCACAATGACTTAACTGGATTCGGCCCATACAGAGCCAGATGTTTTTATTTTTGGAACAGCTTCAAATCACGGTAAGAACCGAATCGTTTTAAGACTTTCTGGCTTGTGCACGTACACAAAAAACCCTTACTAGAGATTACAAATGAACATTGGGTCATTTGGGGGCAGAAATTCATGGTCTTAGGAATTCATGGTCTTGGCTTAGCTATGTTGCCATTCAGAGGAGAGTCGTATCTGCCAGCTGCACAGAACTTGCTTCATTTAGCGGTAAATCCTCTGCTATTTTTACCTTGCAGCCACTGATCCAAGGTATTATCGATGGAACACTTAATCACAGGTAAAAACTCAGAGTTCATAAAAAGGCCCCGGTGTGGATTCTTCCTCATTCTCTCCTGGTGACTTCTGGAATTGAAAAATTCTAGAACCAACTTTATCTGCCATAAGTCAAATGTCTCTGACATTTCTCTTTTTTCCAGTCTTCTCACAGCCTAGCGGAAAAGGAAAAAAGAGCTTGAAGTAACTCAATAATGTTGGAGCTACAGATATATATAAATGAGTCGTTTAGAGACTTACATAATCAGAAAGAAAGATTAGGGGGAGCTTGCATGATCAGTGTCACAAGGTGGCATGAATCTGCTACGACTACTCGTTCATGCAGACAAGTTTCCATAGGTAAAAAATCAAGACATATTGCGATTACAAATGCAATACACTTTTTGTCTTTGCTTTCTTAACGGGCAAAAACCAGCAGGAAAATAAGCAACCACGAGCAAAGCCACACTTTGACGAAATGAAAAGGACTGCACTGCATGCTTTTACCTGGTCAATTGCTATGTAAGCCGGCAACATTTCAGGATTTTCCTGAGTAACACACTCGTACAGGATAGAAGAGAAAAGGTCGAACACTTCCTGTTTCTAAAAAAAATGATGAAGAAGAGGTAATTCATCATACATGTTGCAGTGGGTGGGGAGCCAGATGTTACTGGAATATAACTCCTATTGCCACTGACCATTGGTCTTGCTGGCTAAGGCTAATGGAATCCAATAATAATAATAATAATAATAATAATAATAATAATAATAATAATAATTTATTTATACCCAGCCCATCTGGCTGGGTTTCCCCAGCCACTCTGGGCAGCTTTCAACAAAGATTAAAAATACATTAAAACATCAGTCATTAAAAACTTCCCTAAACATGGCTGCCTTCAGAACATCAGATAGTTGTTTACCTCTCTGACATCTAATGGGAGGGCGTTCCACAGGGCGGGTGCCACCACCGAGAAGGCCCTCTGCCTGGTTCCTTGGCAAGCTGCCCACACCAGCATACTGCCTACTCTGCTGGTAGTTTAAATAGACTTTGGAGAGGCTGATTTTGTCAACTAGAATGCGAATCATCCCACACATACGTTCTTTTATTTTTAAATTCCTCCTGTGCGAAACCAGGATACTCTAGTCTTCCCAAAGCCTTACAATAATTCCCAGCAATTGGGCATTTACAGGCATGCTGTCTCTGAGAGTGGAGTTTCACGTTGCCTCTGCCGAAGCCTGCCTTTTAAATTTTTTTTAAGCTAGGTTTTGCACCTGACAACTTACTTGCCCCGTGTTTGCAGCCGGTTTGCAGAAATAGTCAGCAAATGAAAGCAGTGCAGGATCAGATGTAAAAGCAGAAATAGCTTCTGGCTGAAAAGGAAGGTGACATTTAAAATTAAGGATTGTTTCCTTCTTTGCGGTTCATGGGGAAAGTGCAATTCATACAACCCTTCCTCACTGCAGGCTACAACCTCCCAGATGAATGGTCCAGCCTTCTTGGAAAAAAATGTAATGGAGATAATACTACCCCTTAGCAAAAAGCTGACCTGAAAAACAGATTCATGCAGCTCAAAATCTTGCTACCTTACCAGCACAGCTGAGCCAACAAAGTGGTATCATCTCAGCCCTTTGGGGGAGAATGAGACAGGCTGCGGAAACTTTCCCCAACGCAGGTCAGTTTCTCATTTTGCACTGACGTGAGGTGCCGCAGGGGCCAACGCGGAGACGTTTGGAGTCTTCCCGGTGAAATTTGCACCAGAATGACAGCTGCTTCTCACAGCTTGCGTTCATTTTCCAAAGATGGCTTTTCCTTATAACCACTGGCCTCACAACCCAACGGAAAATTCAGGTTTTTTCGCTTTTTGCTTGTTAGCAAACTTTTCCAGCAGGGGGCCGGTCCACTGTCCCTCAGACCTTGTGGGGGGTCAGACTATATTTTGGGGGGGAAATGAACGAATTCCCAAGCCCCACAAATAACCCAAAGATGCATTTTAAATAAAAGCACACATTCTACTCATGTAAAAACACCAGGCAGGCCCCACAAATAACCCAGAGATGCATTTTAAATAAAAGGACACATTCTACTCATGTAAAAACACACTGATTCCCGGACTGTCTGCGGGCCGGATTTAGAAGGCGATTGGGCCGGATCCAGCCCCCGGGCCTTAGTTTGTGTACCCATGTTATATAGTTTATATTCATTGCAGCTTTTTTCACTCAACAGTGGCCATAAGGACTACCTTGAACGCCCGGGCATCCGCATTCCGGTGAGTGACAGTCTGCGCCAAAAGGCTTCGCCAACCCATTGGGTCCTCTTTGTATGAAAGCTGCCCAGCCCTCAGTTTTACATACAGGACCCCATCTTTTGAAAGAATTGATCTGCAAGAAGAAGAGAAGGTTTGGGGTTTTTTTGTTTCAGATTAAGAAGTTATCCATGCTAATTCACATATCTTGAGGACAGATATCATTGCACCACGTAACACCTGAAAGCATTACAAATTCCACACTCAGTTCCCTACCACAAATGCTGAGGCGAAGCACTGTTGTTTTATTCTGCAGAGTTTTATCCCCTGATATACATTTATATCCAACATGGAACTCATTACGTTGCCAGGTGGGCTCCCATCCAGGTACTGGCCAGACACACACCTGCTTAGCTTCAGCAAGGTGGCTGCATCATGAACCCATAAGCCAGGGGTCAGCAACCTTTTTCAGCCGTGGGCCGGTCCACCGTCCCTCAGACCATGTGGTGGGCTGGACTATATTGGAGGGGGAGGAATGAACGAATTCCTATGCCCCCCAAATAACCCAGAGATGCATTTTAAATAAAAGCACACATTCTACTCATGTAAAAACACGCTGGTCCCCGGACTGTCCGCGGGCAGGACTGAGAAGGTGATTGGGCCGCATCCAGCCCCCAGGCCTTAGGTTGCCTACCCCTGCCATAAGCTATGCATTAAGAGTTGTTGGATAAGGTTATCTGCATGCCTACTGCCATGCAGAGGATGAAAGAGAAAGCCAAGAAAAAATGGCGGGGATCAAATGTCACAAAATGGGAAGGAGCTATGAAGGTTAATCAGTGACCCAAAAAAAAATTCAAAAAGGGGAAACCCGGATTTCCTTGAAGGTCTCAGATAGATTTCTTTTTTTGAGCAGATTTCTTGCTCTCTTTTTTTGTAGTAGGAAGACCGTTTTGAGGGATTGGTTGGCTATCTGCCCTAAATGCTTCCAATTCTATTAGTCATTTGATTTTATTGCCTGTTTTCACTGTGCTGATATATTAGCAAGCCAGATGGAAGTGTGTGATAGTCCTGTTGCTGTTCTGTCAATTTTCACACTGTGTAACACCTTTCTTCCGGCAATCTGCACCGGATCCATTTTATAACAGGCACAGAGTTGGATCTCAAGTGAATTTCACGTGCAAAAGGGAGGAAATGTCTTCTCTGCTTTGCAGAAGATGGGAAAAATCCACAGGTGTTCCACACATAGGAGAAAATTGCTGGGTCAAGGATGACACACACACACACACACACACACACACACACACACCAGTTAAAAGCTGCATATCTGCTTAACACCAGCCACTGGACAACTCCTACAAACAAATAGATTTTCCAACAATTGCAACAGCAGCTTAAATTTGGACTCTGGTGTGTCTGCAGTGCAACCGTAATTGTGGGCTGATATACTATTATTGCAAAAGCTTCACCAGGACTACTTACTTTAAATGGTGTGTGCCTCTACTTAAATCAATCAGCAGTTCCCAGTATCGGGGGCCTTTCACTCTGATCTGGAAACATAAAATAAAAATCAGTTACACAGGGAATTATACATATTGGATAGGATCAAAACACCGTGGGCAGTGTCACTCACATCCAGGGACTTCTAATGTCCTCCCTTCCAAGACCCACAACATGCATGGTTTATTACAGTGGTTCTCAACCTGTGGGTCCCCAGATGTTGTTGGACTACAACTCCCATCATCCCTGAGCTCTGGTCTTGCTAGCTAGGGATGATGGGAGTTGTAGTCCAACAACATCTGGGGACCCACAGGTTGAGAAAGGCCGGTTTATTAGACCTCTAGGAGCCGTACTCCGTAAGTCACAAAAGATGCACCTGAGATGACATCCCACCAATGATCTTTCCATTCCTTAACCGGAAATCCAGAGCAGGGCTGCAGGTGCAGAATAGTGGGGATTTTTTGCAAACCAAGTTTAAAAGCAGAGAAGAAGAAGAAGGAGAAGAGTTTGGATTTGATATCCCGCCTTTCACTCCCTTTAAAGGTAAAAGGTAAAGGTACCCCTGCCCGTACAGGCCAGTCATGTCCGACTCTGGGGTTGTGCGCCCATCTCACTTAAGAGGCTGGGGGCCAGCGCTGTCCGGAGACACTTCCGGGTCACATGGCCAGCGTGACGAAGCTGCTCTTGCGAGCCAGCACCAGCGCAGCACACGGAAACGCCGTTTAGCTTCCCGCTAGAAGCGGTACCTATTTGTCTACTTGAACTTAGGGGTACTTTCGAACTGCTAGGTGGGCAGGAGCTGGGACCGAAAGACGGGAGCTCACCCTGCCGCGGAGATTCGAACCGCCGACCATACGATCGGCAAGTCCTAGGCACTGAGGTTTTACCCACAGCGCCACCCGCGTCCCAGGTTCACTCCCTTTAAGGAGTCTCAAAGCGGCTAACATTCTCCTTTCCCTTCCTCCCCCACAACAAACACTCTGTGAGGTGAGTGAGGCTGAGAGACTTCAGAGAAGTGTGACTAGCTCAAGGTCACCCAGCAGCTGCATGTGGAGGAGCAGAGATGTGAACCCGGTTCCCCAGATTACGAGACTACCGCTCTTAACCACTACACCACACTGGTGTAACCTAACCCCAAGCCCTGTCTCCACTAATTCTCATGGTATCGCACCCTACTTTCTATAATAAATATCAAGCCTATGATGTTGTAAGGTGGCATGCCAAGGGACTACAGTGGTACCTCGGGTAACAGACGCTTCAGGTTACAGTCTACGCTAACCCAGAAATAGTACCTCAGGTTAAGAACTTTGCTTCAGGATGAGAACAGAAATTGCACAGTGATGGCGCGGCGGCAGCGGGAGGCCCCATTAGCTAAAGTGGTGCTTCAGGTTAACAACAGTTTCAGGTTAAGAATGGACCTCCGGAACGAATTAAGTTCTTAACCAGAGGTACCACTGAATACTATTTCCATCCACTGCATCTTGGAATTACACTATGGCTGCTTCTACCCCCACCCCCAGCTGTGCTTGTTGGGGCTGATGGGAATTGTAGACCAAAACAGCAGGAGAGGACCCAGCCGAAGAAGGCTGCCATAAAGCAAGCTCTGTCATATACCTGCTTCAGTAGGTGGAGTTCAGGAAGAAGAGTGGGTGCCATCAGTTCCTCGGTTGTTTCCTCATACCACTGAGTTCCCTTTGGTGGGTGGGTGGGGGGTAGAAATACAAAATAAACCACACACTTTAGTCAACCTGTATCACTGAAGAAAGCACATGACAACCATGCTGGCTCAGAGGGACTGTGTACATTCTGCCCCCAACCTTTCAGGTAAGTTCCCTTCACCCCACAGAATCAAGTCTACCTTGTAGGTAACCTCCAGCAGTGAGTAGCAAGGCGTATCTGTATCCACGTCCACAGGGACAAGGAGCCTGGGCTCTGCTGCCAGAACATACAGATGCCGCAAGGCCTGGAGGTGATACCTGTGCATACAAAGAGTGCAATTACTGCAGGAAGGTTATTTTAAGGCTCCGTCCTGAATCTAACTGCTTTCAACAGGCCTCCCAAGGTGCAGAACGCATTATCTGTTGCTGGGTCCAACTGGGCTTGCCTAGGATCTTTGTTTTAACCAAATCTGCTGGTTAAGCCTTACCTGTTATCTGTACTGTGAACTGGGAAGTGAGGGTACACGGCACAAAGCAGGGCAGCAATGGAAGAATTTGAAGTGCTAAGTGAGTACCTGCAAAATAAAGAATATATACAGTTATACCTCATGTTACATTTGCTTCAGGTTGTGCATTTTCAGGTTGCATCCCATGGCGACCCAGAAGTACCGGAAAGGGTTACTTCCGGGTTTCACCACTCGCGCAAAATGACGTCCCGCGTGTGCGCAGAAGCGGCGAATCGCAACCCGCATATGCGCAGACACAGGTTGCGTTCTTTTCAGGTTGCGAACGGGCATCCAGAACGGATCCTGTTCTCAACCAGAGGTACCACTGTGTGTGTGTGTGTGTGTGTGTGTGTGTGTGTGTGTCTGTGTGTGTGTGTGTGTGTGTGTGTGTGTATATATATATATATATATATATATGTATACATATACATATATGGGGGTGGCGCTGTGGGTTAAACCACAGAGCCTAGGACTTGCCGATCAGAAGGTCGGCGGTTCAAATCCCCACGACGGGGTGAGATCCTGTTGCTCAGTCCCTGCTCCTGCCAACCTAGCAGTTCGAAAGCACATCAAAGTGCAAGTAGATAAATAGCTACCGCTCCGGCGGGAAGGTAAACGGCGTTTCCGTGCGCTGCTCTGGTTCGCCAGAAACAGCTTAGTCATGCTGGCCACATGACCTGGAAGCTGTACGCCGGCTCCCTCGGCCAATAAAACGAGATGAGCGCCGCAACCCCAGAGTTGCCTAATGGTCAGGGGCCCCTTTACCGTGTGTGTGTGTGTGTGTGTGTGTATATATATATATATATATATGCAATAAAAGAGCATGGAATTGGTGCTTATCCCTGCAAAGCAGAAATTAAGTGCAGGTCATCAAAGATATTCATTTCTAACAATAAATGTCTGCGCTGTAGGGCTGTGCAAGGCAGCCCTAATTTAGTTCAGGGCCCAATGCAATGATCCAAATCGGGCCCCAGACCAATTCAGCCCCCAAATCTAAACAGAGGTGCTGCAGACTCCTAATGCTTAATTAAGCTTCTAAACCAAAATTAAGCATGCAGTCAGTGGCCGGGGGGCGGGAGAAGGAGACCTGCCAGTAGTGAGTCCTACCTGCATCATCTCCTTCCCCCACCCCTCTTCTTTGCTGGCTTACAAACCCCACCACCGCTTTTGATAGACGCAAATTGCTCCAGGTGGACCTGACCTGGGGTTGCCTCAGCATGAACAGGACAAATTCCAGATCCGCCAAATGAGTCCAGGGTCCAGGATTTGTCCAGACCAGATGCACAGCGCTACTGCTCAGCCCCTCAAATATTTACCAGACACCTTCCTGTGCTTTTAACTCTTTTGTGCTTTTAACTCTTTAATTGCTGGTGGTTCTTCTTTTTTTAATAAAAAAGGCCAAAGGCTACCTCAATACTGCAATTAAGTGGTATACAAATTTTCATAATAAATATTAATAATAACACAACAATATCTCCTTTGGAAGGAAAAAAAAAGGATTGTGGACGTAACGAATACGCAGGGAGATACTGGGGTGTTCATATGAATATTCGCTTTGCGGGGGAAAGGCTTCCCTTTGAAATAACGTTATTACCTTCCCCCTCCCAAAAAGAGGAGCCCGAGAGCCATATGATGTGCCATGTGGAACCCGTAGTTCATCTCCCCACCAGTCTTCTTGTGCATGAAGCGGCAGAGCTGGAGGACCTTCAGGTTTCCCGATCCTGCCATCACCATCGCAAGTGACATCAGCACTACACTCAGGCAAGTCTCCAGGTTGTAGTGGCCTGCCTTAAATATGGACACAGAGGAGGCAAGTGGTCAGTTCCACTTGTATCTCCTAAGCAGGCAAGCAACACAATCCCAGGCTCAGGAAGAAGGAAGGTCTTATTCAGAAATTATTATTATTATTATTATTATTCCACCCTTCATCTGAAGACCACAGGGCAACTCCACAGCATAAAAATACAGAATGAGAATGCAAAATACAGTGGTACCTCGGGTTACATACGCTTCAGGTTACATACGCTTCAGGTTACAGACTCCGCTAACCCAGAAATATTACCTCAGGTTAAGAACTTTGCTTCAGGATGAGAACAGAAATCATGCTCCGGCGGCACAGCGGCACTGGGAGGCCCCATTAGCTAAAGTGGTGCTCCAGGTTAAGCACAGTTTCAGGTTAAGAACGGACCTCCAGTACTTAACCCGAGATACCACTGTACACAATAAAAGCAAAAGCAAACCAGTAACTTCCCTCCCACAATCCTACGCATGGCTACTCCCTGAGTTCAATGGGACTTACTCCTAGCTAAGTGTGTGTGTGTCTGGGTTTTAAAATAAGGACAACCATTAAGGTGTCTGTTGTAACCATTCCTCATAGGGGAGAGGCTGCTCCTTCATCTAAACTTGAGGACCTTGAATGGGGCCTGCGAATGAACCGGAAACCAGTGCATCTATTCTAAAGCAGGGGTTATTTGAGATCCCTCCTTTGGCAATCCACACAGAACCGTAAACGACGCAGGCCCCAAATATCGGAAACGCCACATCCTTCCCTACAGACCCTCTTGGGCACTGACATTGGGAGAGGGGCCCTTTGTCCTCAGACGCTTGGGGTGGGGGCAGAAGCTTGCAAAAAGGACTTCTCTATGGGAGCCCCTAAGTTACAGAACTCCCTCCCCACAGAGATGCACCTGGTACCTTCATTATACAGATTCTACAAAATGAAACAAGACGCACCTCTTTGCTCTGGCTTTTGGCACTTGAGGTGTTTATTTTTTAAGACTCCCCTTGTTTTTATGACTGGAAGTTGTTAAAAATGGTTTTAATATTGTGTTTTAATGTTGTTATTTGCTCTGGGACCTTAAGGGTCAAGAGTAGGCAATAAATAAATAAAGCAAGCTGTGGAGCAAACTCGGAACAAGTACCCATTTCTCTTCTCAAACTCTGTGTTTAGCTAGCAGAAGGGTAGGTTACTGAAGTATTTGAGGATGTGTGGGGTCAGGGTAATGGTCCAATGATCCCTCTCCCCCTCCCCCAAAAATTAAACCAAAACAGCATTATAAAATTTTTGATTTTACTATGAACGATAGTGAATCTGGAGAAACTTACTATGGAAGCCGTAGCCGAGGACAAACACTTCATGAAATCTTTTGCAAATGTGTACTAGACGGAGGAATTCAAAATTGGCACATGTCAGGAAAGCGCAAGAAACAACCGTGGGGCAGGGAGTGAACCTGGACTCTCAAGACATGCAAACCACTCACTCGTCCACCCTGCTAAAGTCTCGCCCATAAATATGCATCGTTCATTATTCTTTCGTAAGATCAGAATCAGAAGAGACCTGAAAGTCACCTGGCCCTGAAGCAAACACTTCTAAACCTATAATCCAGAGGTAAGAAGCTGGGCTTCCTCAGTTTTTGCCCCAGTTTCATCAAACCACACACACACACACACACACTGCAGCCTCCCTTTGCAACCTCCCAGAAAACACGTTAAAACTGTGTTTCTTCAAACAGGCACCCTATAATGTTCTGAACATTATATTATTGCAGTAACAAGACTGCAGGTTATTTTAAGTTTGCTGCTGCTGCAGCTGCTGCTGCTGGCCCTTTGTGGATCTGTGCACTGCCAGCAGAAAGCAGGCATGAGCTAGTTGTCCCAGGCATGAGATGCTGAAATGTCATTCATCATTATGGTAAAACCATCCACATGGCTCAAGCAACGTAGTATGGAAGAGTTGGAAGAAACTGTTAGAATTCCTGCTCCATGATTGCAGTCATGGGATTGTTGTCTATCAGATGACGGTATATGTTTTGACTCCACAGAGTGGGAAGTGACGGAGACAGGATGTTTGTGTTACTGTGTTCCATGAAGTGGGACTACTGTCCTTTGTTCATTTTTTCTCTTTGCTGTCTGATGCTAGAGAGAGAGGGAGCCATATTGCAGTGCTCCGTGTGTGTTTATAGGTAAATAAAGTAGATTAGCCAAAATGCTGAGTTGCTGACGTCTGATACGCAAACTGCGAAGACTCTGCGGATCCCTAAGTGTGCTGGTGTCTGTTGGCATCAGTCGCTGTGATGTTTGGGCAGAAGAAAGCTTTTGAACTCCCGAACGATTGACCAGGAGGGAGGGAACATGCCAGTCGGGCATATATCTCTGCCAGGGTCCTACTTGAGTGTAGGCAGAGCTCCTGACAGAAACATCATTCCCCAACCCTTTTCTTCTTTTAGGATAGGGGTGGGGAACCTGTGTCCCCGCCCTAGAAGCTGTTGGACTCCAATTGCCTCTAGCTCTGTTCAGCAGGGAGCTTATTGATCAGGGATGCTGGAAGTCATTGTCCAAAAACATCTGGAGAGTCACAGGTTTCCTACTCCTGGTTTAGCATGCATCAATATCAAGCTTTCACAGGGACCCTGCAGTCACAACTTGGCCTTGAAATTCACAGACACAGAACAGAGGGAAAGTGGGGCTTTGGGGAGGCATAAATTAAGTGCCCTGGACTTGCATATTTCCCTGAGATTACGTTACACTATAGAATCATAGAGCAGGGAAGGGGCGACAATGGTTATCTAGTCCAACCCCCTGCAATGAATGAATCTTTTGCCCAACATGGGGCTTGAACCCACGACTCATCCCTGCAAGTCTATGATAACAAATCCTGTCCAGCTACTGATGCACTTACCAAGCAATTAAAGGCAGCTAGGTTTTCTGAACCGGCAAATCGAAAACCCAAAGACAAACAGGCCCCAGCGATGATGTAGACATGAGCCTGCCTAAAAAGAAATGTTTGGCAGGAGGTGTGTCTTCATATACAGTTAAAAGATTATATCAAATTACACTGGCTTCCACTTCCTCTCTGGTTAAAAAAATATATCATGCAATTGAGCTACTTCTGCAACAGGAAAGCTGAATTCTCCTAAAAAGCACTGGTGGGGTGAACTAACCTGTCATAGGAAGACTTGCAAATAGCCTTTGCTTCATTCAGGATGTTGTTGCTACACACACTTTTCCGTGAATTTATCCCATGACTCAGTTGGGATATTCCGTTCCACCTTAAGAACAGACGTGTGGAATTGTTGTATGTCACATGTCTGTTTACACTCCAGCACAGCTTGCTGGGAATTTCCGTTTGTATATAGCTTTTGCTTTTGCTGCTTGCTTTTGGACACAAAGGAGAGCAGACGTGTTTTCTTTTGTCCTGCTGTATGCTGAATAAACTGCTTGTAAATATGCTCACACAATTTCTCCTGCCACTTTTGTTGCGCAGCGTTTACTCTGCTGAGTAGCGTGCCCTAGCTTCTGAAGCTCAGGTCACAGATGATGCATCAAGGACTGGAGATTGCCGGAGCCAGCTGGGGGCCTGCCAATTGCCCCTGTTTCCTTGGTTGCATGCCCACAGACTCAGCTGTAATGTTCAGGGGTCCAAAACCACACGGGAGTGGTCAAGCACGTGGAGCTTCAAAACAATAAATCAGGGCTTACATTGCTCCAAGCAATTGGCCGTGCCCATGTGGTTGTGGATCTTTAAATGTTACAGAGGTGTTGTGGGATGATCCTGCAGGAAAGAGGCCTGGGTTGGGAAAGTAATCTTGATACAACCTGGTTTATATATTTTCAAGAGGTTGTTCTCATATTGCTAATACAGTGCAAAAATGTAACCAAACCCTGGGGCTTTGGGACTAGATGGATGGAAGGAAAACGGAAGTCTGGCAAAGCCACTTATTCAGCGCATTTCTATTAACTTCCAAAAGCTCAAGAAGCAGGAGGAGATGCCTGCACATGGTCATCTCTAAGGGTGCGTGATTGCAATACATTTGCAGTACAGTCATACCTCGGGTTACAGACGCTTCAGGTTGCGTTTTTTTGGGTTACGGACCACTGAAACCCGGAAGTACCGGAAAGGGGTTATTTCTGGGTTTGGGCAGTTGCGCATGCACAGAAGCGCCGAATTGCAACCCGCATGTGCGGCAGGAGCACCGCTACCAGTTGCAAACGTGCATCCCGCATGGATCATGTTCGCAACCCGAGCATCCAGTGTACAGGCCTCTATGCGTGTTCAATTCCTGCACTCATAGGAAAGCAGCAGGGCTGTTGCGCTTTCCCACACGTCAGCAAAGCCCTGCTGCACCTCCGGCTCATGAGGAGACCTTCCCCAGAGGGGAGCAGGACTTGGCTGAGCAGCTCGGCAGACACGCAGGGAAGATGTTTCCCTGCATGCCAGCTGTACAAGACCCGCGGCTTCTCTGGCTCAACTGGATCAAGGGGTCTGACTCCATATATTTTTTATTTATTTATTGAATTTATATACTGCCCTATACCTGGAGGTCTCAGGGCAGTTCACAAAAAAGATCACAATATATAAAATAAAAATAAAAACAATAACCCAATAATACCCCCCACAGCACAAGGAGCTGCCATGCTACAGAACTTCCCGCACCCACTGACGTAATACGTCTAGGGCTCCTGAGTTCGTCCTTTGCTATACCTGCCCAAGGACTACAGGAACTAGGAATCGGTCCCACTTGATTACTTACGCCAGAGTCTCCAAATTCAGGTCTTCGGAAGAAGGCATTTCAGTCGCATGAAGGGATACGCTGTTCTCCCTCACAATCTGTTAAAAACAAGCCAGCGGATGCATAGAGTCATTGCCGTTTGTGCAAAGGTTTCTGTAGCTTCGTGGATATACTTTACTTTTTAAAATCAGAGCCCAGCTGCGGGATTTTAATTTTGGATGCCTGATAACAAGAGGACTCCGGTAACCTATTCTTCCATTAAACATACAATCTGTAAGTATTGCACGTCTTCTTTTATAGAGTTACAAGTTACAGCTCACTTCTACATGTGGTTAGCTGGAATTGACTTCCATGAATGGAGCTTGTTCTCAAGTCAGCATGCTTAGAATGTGTGGTTTGTCTTGTTTATGTGAAATAACATGTCGACAGCATGCATGCCTCTAGCCACAAAGTGTAGAACCCTTTACTGCTGTAAGGGAAAAATGGAGGAAACCAGAAAACTCGGGCAGTTTTGCAGGTCTGCCTACCGGAAGCATCAAATGCCTTTTCTTTAGTTTATTACTCTTTAGCAAGGAGCAGAAAAGGTGAAATTATCAGCTGAATCCTGGTTTAAGAACATAGGAAGAGCCTATTGGACCAGGCCATCCAGTTTGGAATCCTATTTTTGCAGTGGCCGATGCCTATGAAACCCACAAGAGGACCCTCCTGTGGTTTCCAGCATTGGGTATTCAGAAGCATTTCTGCCTGACTGTGGAGACAGGGCATAGCCATTTGCAGCTAGTAGGCATTGATAGTCTTATCCTCCATGGATCTGTCGAATCCTCTTTTAAAGCCAAGCTCAGCTACTTGTTCACTGGGCAGAGCGAAGTGGTTGCAAAGGAACTGTAGATACCTGCAGGCAACTTGTGTATATCCTGGTTTATTAAGACAGAAGCATTATGGTGAAAACTCGGCCACTGGGTGCACTAGAAAAACTCATGGTCCTCTGAAACAGGTGCCATGAAGCAGATGAACAAGGCACCCTCATCCAGACCTGTTGATGTGTACAGGGTTCCCCGAGGGTAGAAATTCCCTGAACTGCTGGCTTCGTGTAACGGTTTAGTTGGAGGAGTGCTACTTACTTGTGGCACGTTGCTGTCAATCCACTTAGAACTGGGCAGAATGTCATCCCACAAAATCAAGCACCGAGCAAGCGTCTGCAAACAAAGAAGAGGATCAGAACAGGGTAAAGGAAAGCAAGTTGTGATGAGCTCAGAAACAGCAATCGTGTAAGAATTCCTAAGCAATCAATCTGAATTGATCAGGAAGTTATAGGCACTTCTGTTTCAAGCTCAGAACCCAAAAGTACCCTGCAATTCTTAAGACTGTCGGAGAAAACGCAAACCCTCTTTCTCAGCATGGTGCGATCATCTACGCAAGCATTCTATTTTGTGAACTCGGTTTGAACGATTTGTGCACCATTACACAGCCAAATACTGGCTTTCATAGTCTGTGGCTAGAGTGTTAGATCGGGGTTCAAATCCCTGCACGGCCATGAAGCTCACTAGGTGAGCTTGGGCCAGCCACGGTCTCACAGCCTAACCTACCTCACAGGGTTGCTGTGAGGATAAAACGGGCAGGAAGAGAACCACATATGCCACCTTGAGCTCTTTGGAGAAAAGGTGGGATAAAAATGCAATAAACAAACAAGCAATGCCATGAGCCAATGGGACCAGATCAACTGCAAAAGTAGCATTTGACTCAAAGCCTAATACAGTGGTACCTCGGGTTACATATGCTTCAGGTTACAGACTCCGATAACCCAGAAATAGTACCTTGGGTTAAGAACTTTGCTTCAGGATGAGAACAGAAATTGCACGGTGGCGTCACAGCGGCAGCAGGAGGCCCCATTAGCTAAAGTGGTGCTTCAGGTTAAGAACAATTTCAGGTTAAGAACGGACCTCCAGAACGAATTAAGTTCTTAACCTGAGGTACCACTGTAATTTGAACAAGAGCATCTTGTTTAACTTTCTGGGTTGCACTTCTGGGCTTCCTTTTTTGCTGCTGAAAATCGCCCAAGAATATTTTTTTTTTACACAACAAGCAATTTAGCAGACAGATTCAAGTGCAACTCAAGCTTACATTGCCAACTGATGAGCACACAGGTGTTTTGGCTTTGCTGAATATGGCACTTCTGCTGGCCACATTTGGCCTTGCATGTACAAACTTTCTCATATGCAAAGTGACTCTAAAACTGGGACAGGATGGAGAGAACTGTCGTTCGTGTGTGTGTGTGTGTGTGTGTGTGTGTGTTTACTTAAAAAGATGAATGGCCTAAGCAGGAACGGCAACCAGCATGTGTCCAGACTGAAACATGCAAAAGTAATTCATACAATTTATTTTAAGTGATTTGCATAAAGTAAACCCAATAAAAGGTAAACTACTTAGACGCTTTTGCTGATTCAGTGGCATATAAACCTTCTTTAAAAAACCCTCAATAAATAAGGAAATTCCGTTCTGAGCAAAGGGCATTGCAGAAGAGCAAAAAACCAAACCAACAACCCTAAAATATGAACATACCCTTAATAATAGAAATTCTGGTTTCACGAAGTCCAACAAATACATGGTATCCGGAGCTCGAAGCCAGTCAGCAATGGACCTAGCAAAATGTAAGTAAAAAAATACAATGAAAGAGTTCTGAATTACAATAGCTTGCTTAGGGAAGCATGAAGACATGCTTCAGTAGAGCACATCTTGAATGGCTGAGTTTGCTTGCTGCTTTTCTAACTTCCTCTCTAATCTTTCGGCTCTGCCACCCTCCTGCTACAATCCTCACACATTTCAGTAAGTTGCAGAGGCACAATTCCAAATGCTCAGACCGAACTGCAAAGCTTCCTTGCATTTATTGAGTGTCCCTCCACCACATTCTGGGGGCTGCCTGCATTGTGATGAGTTGCAAGTACCCTTAAGCATGAAGTCCTGTGATTCTAAAAGGTTACGTCTCTTACACATAAAGCACGATTCCAAACCCAATACCTGTTGTTAGTCTTTAGGTAGATCATTGCTAGCGCCAGAGTCGCGCCTGGGCATGTCACGTCCACATTTATGGTGTCTCCTTCCTGTAAAGAATAAAAGCAGGGAGATAAATCAGCCTGAATGCTAGAGAACGATGTCACACGCCGCTTTTATATTTATTTACTTATTTCGTTCAACTTACTAATGGTTTCCCGTAAAATATCTCAAAGCGATTTGCTTTGTGCGGGAGGTGGGCCAAGGGAAACCTCTGAAGGTGGTCTAATGGACTCCTGCCCCCCAAGAAAAGTAGGGCTGAGCCTAAAGAGTAACTGAGATGGGAAACTGTCTTGGAACTCCACTGATGGTGCTCTGAGGTCCCTTGAAAAAAGGTGCGAAGAAATGAACCAACCTATTCCTTATAAAAGGATGAAGGGGAGAAGCTGCAGGATCCTTGCAGTACTCAAAGGGCAGAGCTCAGTTTCAGAGCATCAGCCCCTGGCATCTTCAAGTAGGGCTGAGAAAGACCCCCTGCCTGAAACCTTGGGAAGATGCTGCCAGCCAGGGAAGAAAACAGGGAGCTAGATGGACCAACGGTCCAACTCAGAATAAGGAATGGTTTAAGAAAACTGAAGTGTGCACCTTAATCTGGTAGCTTGGAGACTTGTGCTTTTCACGGTGCATTCCAGCTTGAAACCGCCGGTGACCGCCAACCATATACTGGTAAAGCTGCTCAGGAACGTTGAGGTCCGACATGCCTATCAAGTTGCTGCCGTGCTGCAAGAGGAATGGAGAGCAAAGGGTTAAACAACAACAACAACAACAACAACAATAATGATGATGATGATGTATTTGTACCCCGCCCATCTGGCTGGGTTTCCCCAGCCACTCTGGGCGGCTTCCAACAAAGATTAAAAATACATTAAAATGTCACACATTAAAAACTTCCCTGAACAGGGCTGCCTTCAGATGTTTTCTGAATGTCAGGTAGTTGTTTATCTCTTTGACATCTGGTGGGAGGGCGTTCCACAGGGTGGGTGCCACTACCGAGAAGGCCCTCTGCCTGGTTCCCTGTAGCTTAGCTTCTCGCAGTGAGGGAACCGCCAGAAGGCCCTCGGCACTGACCTCAGTATCCGGGCAGAACGATGGGGGTGGAGACGCTCCTTCAGGTATACTGGGCCGAGCCCTATCCTGTTCTACAAACTTGTTTGCAGCCCAAGGTGCCTGAAGCATGCTCAGCAAACAAACAGGTGCTGCATTCAGATGAAAATCTAGCAAACAGTCCAGCATCTCTCTCTCTCTCACTCACACATTCCCCAAAAGAGAGAGCTACACTTACCCCGAGGCAAACCATGCCCAAAGCTAAGCCAGCAGCTAGCGAATAGGACTCTCTGTCGGTGCAATACTCCATTTCAGGGCCTGGGGGGCGCCCTTAAATTTAAAACAACAACAAGAGTAAGTCAAAACTAGAAAGAAAGAAAGAAAGAAAGAAAGAAAGAAAGAAAGAAAGAAAGAAAATAGTTGATTTTTACTCAGTTAAATATTAAATTTTAGCACTGAAAAGCTTAGATCACCGTATTTTGCTCAATATCATATTACAGTGGTACCTTGGGTTAAGTACTTAATCCGTTCCAGAGGTCCGTTCTTAACCTGAAACTGTTCTTAACCTGAAGCACCACTTTAGCTAATGGAGCCTCCTGCCACCGCTGTGCCACCACCACACAATTTCTGTTCTTATCCCGAAGCAAAGTTCTTAACCCAAGGTACTATTTCTGGGTTAGTGGAGTCTGTAACCTGAAGCGTATGTAAGAAATGTATGTAACCCAAGGTACCACTGTATCAGGAACAAATCAGGGGCCAATTTGGACAGCTTCCTTAAAGGTTTTAGCCTGTGGCAGCAAAAATAAAATCTACCAATTCGCACAACTGCAAGGAGGTCTCCATGAAATCATTTGCAAAGGGAAGCCCACACAGCGCTCGCTCCAGATGTTGTGGACTACAACTTAGCTTTAGCCAGCATGGCCAGTGGTCAGGGATGTGGATGCAAGTCCAGTAACATCTGGAGGGCACCTGTGTTGGCTACTTGCACAAAACATTTGTGACCCGGATGCCACCCCAAGAGATTTCCTCTCTGGAGCTTTACCTATTTCCGACAGCAGAACCTCGGCCGTGTGCCTGTGAGCCGTGCCTTGGTAGACCAAGCCAATCCCTATCACGGCTGCCACTTGTACATTGTGAGGCACATCCAGTTCAGTGGAAGTGGGCGGCAGAAGAGCAGGGATGTGGATGCTGAGCAGGCGAGTGATGGACATGTCCATGGTGCCCAGCTTGGCGGCTGAGACCCCAAGCAGCAGCCCGATGCTCGTCATTTCGTGGCCCTGCCAGGAGAAACAAACGCATCCATCAGGTGACTTTTTTGAATGGAACAAATGCACAAACGCACATTCATGAGCTGCACCCCAAACTGAAAAGCCTGAGGCCATGTTTCAGGATTCTTTTATTTTACATCTTAATCAGATAAGTGCTGGAGCTGCAATGAGGTCAAACGTATGTTCTTTCATATGTGATACACCTGTAAAAGGGTAAAAGAGTATTGGGAAATAATTTATAATGAACTGGAAAAAATGTTTAAAAGCACCTTTCCAAAAAACAAACAAAAAAACCCCAGAGTTATTTTTGCTGGGGATAATTCAGATGGAAATTCCCAGGTGTCAAAAAAGGCTATTTATGTATGCCACTACGGCGGCCCATGTTTCGTTAGCCCAAAAATGGAAAACGAGCACGGTCCCAAAGAAGAATGGCAACTTAAACTGATGGAATATGCGAAGCTTGCGGACCTAACATATAGAACAAGAGAACAAGAAGAACATTGGTTTAAAGAAGATTGGGAAATGTTTTCTGAATATATGGGGGGAATTGTGTACACTTGAAAACGCTGGCAGCATTAAGATGAATTCAACAGTGTAAATAAGTTTTGATGGAAGTAATAATGGAATACTGAATGGTTTAGTTTATATAAAATATGCAGGGATTTATGCTATGTAAAATGAACTATGGAAAGAGAAGAAGGGATGTCACTGATATTTTAAGGTTGTATAAATGAATATTCTAAATTGTAAAACAGAAAATTTAATAAAAATTATATTCTTTAAAAAAGGATTCATTTATTTTAACATACACCACACACAGACAACAAACACATATTGTTTGGAGGGGGCCCTTCCTTGCCCCCCATGACTAATTTTTTTTTAGGGATGTGGGGAACTGCAGCGGTTAGGGAGGAATTGGCAAAGATCTAGTGCCTTGCCTTGCCTTGCACAAGGAGAAAAGCTTTTCACCAGTGCGAAGCCATCGTTGATAAAACCATGGTTTGCTGCAATGCAGTAATGACGGTTACAGTTGCTGGTCTGCCTCTGGAGGCAGAACTGCTGGGCAAGCAGAAAACAAAGGCAGACAAGCAGGCTTGAACTGTGGTTGCCTGTATGTCTGGGTACTAAACTACGATTAGCAGAAACCATGGTTTGGCATGACCACCTGACTATAGTCAGAAATACAAAAATCGTGACGTTGTCTTCCCTTTGCCTTTGGGCCAAGCGTCTCACCTTTGTCAAGTAGTCATGGATGTTGAGTGTGGCGAGCTTTGTGAGGTGGCCGTTCAAACCCAGGGCCATGAGGAAGCCTGCGTATTCATTGGCTAGTTCGGCATTTTTGGGTTTGTTGTAGACGATCCATGCAGAATCTATTTGAGAAGCAGGCGCGATCTTCAGTCCAGCAGCAACGCCATTGTGGAAGTTGGCCCAGCAAGCCATGTTCGGAGGCACATCTATGTTCCCACTGTTGAGGTCCACTGTGGTATTCCTAGGAGGAGCCCGGCCTACAGAGTGCAGAACGACCAACCGCATGTGAATCAGAACCGTAGAAGAAAACCCCTTTCTGCTAGGGAGGGCTAAGCATAGTTAGCTGCTTTGGGGTCACAGTAAACTACAGTGATACCTCAAGTTAAGAACTTAATTCGTTCTGGAGGTCTGTTCTTAACCTGAAACTGTTCTTAACCTGAAGCACCACTTTAGCTAATGGGGCCTCCTGCTGCCGCCGCACCGCCAGAGAACGATTTCTGTTCTCATCCTGAAGCAAAGTTCTTAACCCAAGGTAATATTTCTGGGTTAGCAGAGTCTGTAACCTGAAGCGTATGTAACCTGAAGCGTATGTAACCCGAGGTACCACTGTATAGTTATGCGCAAACATCAAACTGACTTGTGTTTTATATATGCTGTAAGCCTCTCAGAGTGGCTGGGGAAACCCAGCCAGATGGGCGGAGTATAAATAATAAAATTATTATTATTCTTTATTATTATGACAGTGGCCTGGTTCAATTGCTGCTTATGGCCATGGAGGCAGAGCATAGCCAACACAGCTAGTAGCCCAACGAACCCTCCTTCCAGGAACAAACTTGCTATAAGAGCTACTAATTTTTGTTCCTGTTGTGACTCAAATTATCCCTAAATTTCCTTCCCTCCTTCAGATTCCCCCACTCCCTAATCCAGAGGAGTGTCATGGATTTCGTGCTACAATGGTAGCATTGTAGAGCAGGCAGTGCTCTCTCTGTGTGTGAGCCCACAGGTAGATCGGGTTATCATGCTAAGTATTGCAGGAACTCACCTGTCAGGTTTAATTTGGGAATAGGCAACGGTTCTGTTGGAACTGGATGATACGAGAACAGAGTGAACATTCCTCTTCCCAAAGGGAGAGCCATCGTCCGCTGACACAACTGCAGCAGCCTATGGTGAAAATCAAACACAGAAAAGAATGCAACCAACAATATTATTCCTTTTTAAGCACACACACACACACACACACACACACACACACACACACAGATACACACTTATATCAACGGGTTAACAAATTATGTTACTATCAACTTTAAAACAGGCAATAAAAAGCTGTAGGAATATAAAATACAAATAAAGAAAGCATTTCTCATGGTGTTCCGAATATATCTAGTGCTTTTTTCTGGAGGTACGCATACCCCTAAACATTTTGTGAATCTAAGTTTGGCCTCATTGAGGGGCAGTATTTCAATATGAGTAGGAAAATGAGAGTACAGTGGTACCTCGGTTAAGTACTTAATTCGTTCCGGAGGTCCGTACTTAACCTGAAACTGTTCTTAACCTGAAGCACCACTTTAGCTAATGGGGCCTCCTGCTGCTGCCGTGCCGCCGAAGCACGATTTCTGTTCTCATCCTGAAGCAAAGTTCTTAACCTGAAGCACTATTTCTGGGTTAGCAGAGTCTGTAACCTGAAGCGTATGTAACCTGAAGTGTATGTAACCCGAGGTACCACTGTACCCTTAGTTCTTAGAGAAAAAAAACACTGCATCAAACATTCCACCAATGAGAAATATGCAAAGCAGATAGGAAACCTGTGAATCTGTGGACAGGGTGACAGATGAACGTATGAATTTTTATTTCTCCATACTTTATTTGTGAACATTTTATGGCAGGCAGCAGATTGTGTGAATGGAGTCTACTGAAAAGGACAAAGAGTTTGAAGTGATGCAAGGACTTGTCTGTGGTGGTTGGTCTGCAATGGCCCAGTCACTCTTATGCAAGTCATCAGTTTAAGTCATCCAGTGAAATATTAAATATAGTCTACCCTGCTTTTTTCTTTCAGGCTAGGATTCTTTGTCTGTGGTCTTGGGCTCAAGATGGACCCTGTTTCTTTTTCCATCCTCTCTTTTGGAAGCACCTGAACTCGGGCAGAAGACAAGAGAGCGCCCCTCCAAACAAATCAGCTGTGTTCTTTATGTTTTGATTATGCCTGGGGAGGCTTCCACAGCTATTGCCTGTGCCTAGAGCTCTTCCAGACTGACAGGTCTGCAGGGGATTTGGCATGTCAAGCAGCAGAGACATCAAAGGTGCTTCCAGGCAACAATGTTTACTGAAGATCCATCCCAATTTGTTTGCAGGGAGATGACATTTGCTATTGAATGCATAAGTTAAAGGTAAAGGTACCCCTGACCATTAGGTCCAGTCGTGACCGACTCTGGGGTTGCGGTGCTCATCCCGCTTTATTGGCCGAGGGAGCCGGCGTACAGCTTCTGGGTCATGTGGCCAGCATGACTAAGCCGCTTCTGGCGAACGAGAGCAGCGCACGGAAACGCCGTTTACCTTCCCGTTTAGCTAGCTTCTACTTGCACGTGCTTCGAAATGCTAGGTTGGCAGGAGCAGGGACCGAGCAACAGGAGCTCACCCCATCGCGGGGATTCGAACCGCCGACCTACTGATTGGCAAGTCCTAGGCTCTGTGGTTTAACCCACAGCGCCACCCGCGTCCCCCCCCCTTTTTTGGCATATTCCTTACGATTTGTTTGTGGGTAGGTTAGATGATGTTGCATCAGGGCAAATGCTATACAGTGTATTTCCCTGTCACTTTCCTTACTGCAGAAAGTCCAGTCTTTGGCAATCTGTGGGTTTGTTGCACCAGAGCTCCCAAAGAACCAATTTTGCAACCTGAATTTGCCCTGTGAGACCTGCATTGCAAGGGGGGGTGAACTAGACAATCCTTTGGGTACTATCCAACTCTACAATTCTATGATTCTATGAATCCCACTCAAAAACAGTGACAGTCTAAAAGTGCCCTCAGTCTCAAACCTGCAAAAGAACACAGCATTTTCGTAAGGAAACTTTCTACTGAGCTTCCTGACTGCCCACTCCCATTGCTGATCCCAACATCCTTAAGAACTTCCAGTGCCTGGAATCACTGCTAGGAAGCCTGACTCTTGCACACGTGGGGATCTCTGCAGTGACACAATATGACACTCCGACAAACAAGCTTCTAGGAAAGCCAACAATTTACCGGTTTTCTTTTTCTTCTATATATTCGTGGTCACTGACTTCTGGCATCTGAACTACATTGACACGGACAGGGTGAGCACTCTGCAGAAGTCTGCGCACCTCTTGCACTCTCAGGTCTTCGCTCCATATTAGTGACATCACTTCCTGGTTCATATCATTCATTCCGTCGTCCTCCTCTTCTGACTCGGCTGTCGAGGGCAGTTCGGAGGAGAGCACCTGGGTGTCAGACTTTTGGAGAGAAAGAGAGCGAAATTGTATTTTCAGTGGGGAAAGGTTGGAATGTTTGAGGCTATATATTTAAGGGAAAAAATGAGTACTGGAGGCGAGAAACGTAACAGAGGTACATAAGGTTATGCACAGTGTAGAGAAAGATCACAGAGGAAAGCATTCCTCTCCTTCTCAAAATACTAAAACCCGGGGTCAGCCAATGAAGATGAATGGTAGGAGATTAAATATAGAAACACTTCATCACACAAAGCATAGTTAACCTATGGAATTTTCTACCACAAGACATAGTGAAGACGACCAACTTGGAAGGCTTTAAAAGGGGATTAGACAAATGCATGGAAGATGCAAACCCAAACATTCGAATTCCCCCCTTTTTCCATAAAAAGGCATCATTGGTAAAACTAGAAATGCTCTTTCCCTTTAATTTAAACAAATGGAAAGCCAAGCACAGGCATTAAATCTCAGGAACTATTTGAAGGAATCTTCCCAACTTTTCTCTGGAAGATACTTCTATTATGGTACTTACAGCTTTACACTTTGGCAAGTTTCCCTCGCACGCCTGTTTGGAAAGATCCTGACGGCCAATCAGAAGACAGACTGCTTCTGGCCAGTCAGAGGCAGGCTGCTGCCGGCAGTGATATATTGCATCTCTGATAGGAAGAGCAACTCCAAATGGCAAAGACTCCAGATCTCTTAAGGTGAATCCTAATATTATAAAGAAAACAAACCTTGGGGTTATTTTTCATGCTAATTTCTACGAACCCATCTTAAGTCCTAATAATAATAATAATAATAATAATAATAATAATAATTTATTATTTGTACCCCGCCCATCTGGCTGGGTTTCCCCAGCCACTCTGGGCGGCTTCCACAGAGATCAAAAATACACTAAAATGTCACACATTAAAAACTTCCCTGAATATAAAGGTAAAGGTAAAGGTACCCCTGACCATTAGGTCCAGTCGTGACCGACTCTGGGGTTGCGGCGCTCATCTCGCTCTATGGGCCGAGGGAGCCGGCGTTTGTCCGCAGACAGCTTCCCGGACATGTGGCCAGCATGACTAAGCCGCTTCTGACGAACCAGAGCAGCGCACGGAAATGCCGTTTACCTTCCCGCCGGAGCGGTTCCTATTTATCTACTTGCACTTTGACGTGCTTTCGAACTGCTAGGTTGGCAGGAGCTGGGACCGAGCAACGGGAGCTCACCCCGTCACGGGGATTTGAACCACCGACCTTCTGATCAGCAAGTCCTAGGCTCTGTGGTTTAACCCACAGCGCCACCCGGGTCCCTGAATATATATACACATTAATGCCTGTAGGCACAAAAGCAGAGATGCAAACATACCCTGTAGGACAGGGGTGGGGAAACCTTTTCTGGTTAGCAAGCCAGATCTTAATCTCCCTTGGCCCCGGTGAATCAAATATGACAGGTTTCAATCACCTGACATCAGAGAATCAGGTGATACTATGCTTCAAAGTCCCAATTGTAAGGACTTCAAAATGCAACATGGGGAGCTGTTGGAAAGTGCTTTGCAAGCGGCACATACTGTTCCTTAAGTCTCTGAAACAGCTTTCAAACAATAGGGTTTGGGAAGGATCAAGAGTTGTGCTGAGAGGGAGAAGCAGTTTCCATGGACCGCGAACCAGTTATACCTCCTTGAGAAGCTGATGGGCAGGAGGGAGTACATGTTGGGAATCTGAATACGTGCAGCTACTCACACAGAGTCAATTAGGGTTTGGCAGACAGCCAAGGCAATGTGGAAGAGTAAGTCTGCCTGGTGATACAGAGGCATGGAGACAGCTCCATGATTGGTCACCTCTCTCACGGGAATAATGATTAATGGCCTACTAACTGGTACGAGTGTCAGTGTAGGAGTTGGAGGTTGAGAGTTGTGAGTCGTGTATGAGAGAGTTAGTCAAAGATCCGTGTTCTGTTCTGTTCCTGTAAATAGTACACTGTATGTAATAAACACCTAACTACAAGTTCCTGGTTCCTGCTTCGTCCATCCTGTCTGCAGCCAAGCTGCCAATTGCTTTCGTGAATTCTGCATTTACTCTGCTACGTCTGGCTAAGGTCCTGCAACTAGTCGGAAAGTTGTGAAACACCAAATAGGTTTTGCCAATAGTACAACTTGCCTTGCTTCAGCAAAGGAATGATTGGACACACTTTAGATTCCTGAATGTTCCTATGAAGCCCCTCTATTATCAACCCATAGGGTGGAAGTGGCTTCCCCAAACCAGCCTTAGCAGGCCGGTGATCCCTGCCCCCTACACACAGTAGGTACAGGTCCATGGCATTAGAATCCTTCAGGATGAAGACAAACAATGGTTTTTAAGAGAGTATTCTAAGTGAAACACTGCTTCCCATGGTGCACATTCGTATTTCTTTTTCCTCACTGTTACATCTGGCCGTAAACACTTTTCAGGCTTTTGAAATGATAAAAACCTATGAAACATCTTTGGCCAGAGACAACAGTGGTACGTGTGCACACACAAGCAGCGGCCCAACTTTCAGACTGCTTTCTGTTCTGGAAAAAAAAGACACGCCTCTAGATTCTGCTTTCAAAAATGAAGTTGCTAGCCTTTATATGCACGCAGAACGCCCACAAAACCAAACACAAGTTGTATTTTTAGTGCTTAATTTTTGGTTTGGAGCGTACATATTTTTCCACCCTCGGACCTTCAGGTGATGGGCAGATTTATAAATACTTTAAATAAATAAAATAAATAAATTCCTGCCATAAAGCTGGAAGATCTCCTTACCTACATTCGTCATCCAGACAACCAGCTTTTCCGCAAGACTGGAAGCAGATGTGCTGTGCTGAAAACTGCATCTGCACAACAATGGGAAAAGCAAGAGGAATGTAATGCGCTGCGGTTGCTCTTGCAGAAAGACCTGAAGCCCAGGAGCCAAAAAGGGGCTTCCATGCCTCTCCACCTGTCCCTGATGATTCTCCCTAGGCCACCCCAACCTCACCAGCCCCGCTCCATGTCCTCCTCAACTACTTCTGCCTGGCTGGAATGTATCCTTGAACTGTGACAATGCATCTTGCTTGCCTGGACAGAGAGGGGTGTGAGTGTCACATCCATTGCCATAGGTGCCACCTCTATCCATTGCCACTGGTGTTAGAATTCATGACTGCATCATGAGTGCAGTCATGGGATTTTTGTCTATCACATGACAGTATATGTTTTGACTCCACAGAGTGGGAAGTGACAGAGACAGGATGTCTGAGTTACTGTGTTCCGTGAAGTGGGACTATTGTCCTTTGTTCTTTTTCTCTTTGCTGTCTGATGCTAGAGAGAGAGGGAGCCATGTTGCAGTGCTCCGTCTGTGTTTATATGTAAATAAAGTAGATTAGCCAAAATGCTGAGTTGCTGAGGCCTGTTACGCAAGCTGCAAAGGCTCTGCGGATCCCTAAGTGTGCCAATGTCTGTTGGCATTGGTTGCTGTGATGTTCGGGCTGAAGAAAGCTTTTGAAGCTCCCGAACGATTGACCAGGAGGGAGAGAACATGGCAGTTGGGCATGTGTCTCTACCAGGGTCCTACTCAAGTGTAGGCTGAACTCCTGACAGGGGACACCTAAGCACCCCCCAAAAAAGTATGCTGGCATGGGACTGAGCCTCCCCAAACTTGAGTGGCTGGGCCTTGCCAGGCTTCACTGCAGCAGCAGTGGTTCTTGGCAGGCCTCATAGCCTCCTCCAGACACGTGTGAAGGCCTTCGCCCTCCCCGCCACTGTTGGGCAGAACTTGGCGCCTCTGTCCATTGCCCTACCCACTTTTGCCTCCGGCCCCACTCACTACCAGAATACCATTTTCTTCCAGAAAGATCCTCATGGAGGAACGTGGCCCTCCTGTTGAAAAATATTCCTCACATAAGAGGAAGGAGACATGACTGTTGTCCTCTCCTGCTCCTCTGAGCCCGTATGTTGTTCCACAGTGAGTGGCCACAGTTTCCAGACAGATTTTGAGCCTTGGCACCTCTACTGCCTGAAAGGAAGGAAGCAGCAGGGGTGGGGCCTGGGCAGATGAGAATGCACCTACTGCAACACAACAGGGTCTTTCTCTTGCTGGTGTGGCCCAGGCCTCTTATCTCCTCCTCCTTCCATCTGGCTCTTAGGGAAAGATTCCCTGAAAAACTAAGGCAATTCAGGAAATTGACCATAAAGGGCCAAGGAAAGAGGCGGAGGAAAGAGATCAATAGTTTAGAGGTCCTTTGGGGGAAAATAAGACTTTCCCAAGGGCAGGAATTGAGCAGAACCTATAAACCAGGCATAGGCAAACTCCGGCCCTCCAGATGTTTGGGACTACAATTCCCATCACCCCTACCTAACAGGACCAGTGGGTCAGAAATGATGGGAATTGTAGTCCCAAACACCTAGAGGGCCGGAGTTTGCCTATGCCTGCCATAAACCGAGAGAGTAGTTTTCATATTGCTCAGGGAGGAGATAGCAAGCAAGGGCGAGCTCCAAAATACCGTACTTCTCCGTGTATAAGATGAGGTGGTATTTTTACGTTTAAATAATTCTTAAAAATTGGGGTGAGCGATGGGCATTTTGGTGAGCGTTTTTAGGCACCCCCCACCCAAGAAAAGCTCAACAACTCTGGGCAATCTCCCCCCATTTTCTGAATTTTGAGTCCCTAAAAATAGGAGGTTTGTCATACACGGGAAAATATGATAGCTCCCAAGTGGAACATTACGCCGTTCACTAATTAACATACCGAGGTTCCTCCAGCTCAGTTTGCTGCTTTCGCTGCCCTAAGAAAAAGAAAGGAGAGAGAATGAAAAGGCACCGCTCTTACCTTTGCTTGAGAAGATTAAAACAAGCAGCAAAAAAACAGGGTAGGGAGACTTTTCTGTGGTGGCTCTTCTCCTTTGGAATGCCCTCTCTCAGGAGGCCCATGTGGAGAACTTGTTGCTGTCATTTCAGCACCAGGCAAAACCACACCTGTTTCCATGGGCTTTTAAGAATTGCTAAAGTAAGCAGCTTATGAATGGTTTGGTTTGACTCTGCTTAAGGGAGCTGTCACTGCTTTAGTTTGCTGCTCTTAATTTGTACAATTTCTTCTTTTTTAAAATTAGTAGTAGTAGTAGTAAATTACACTTTTTGTTTCTTACAGCTCTGCAAGCCACCTGGGTACTTAAGAAACATAAGTTGAAGGTACGGGGATACAAATGATGTAAATAAAGCAAGCAAAACAAAATGAACATCCCTATGGGCACTGGAGGGCCTCAAAAACGTATTACCTGTAGTTATCCTGGACAAATAGTTGGAGGCCTCATTTAAAACTGCTTTTTCATCGCCGAGGATGTACAGCACAACACTCTGCTCAGGAGAAAGAAATTCACTTTTACAAAAGATCCAGTAGATTCATCTTGTACAAATCCAAGAGTCACATCCACTGCGCTGGGCAATTTTTGCCTCTGGCTCCCCTCACTATTGTCTTGCATCCTGTCTGCCCAGCTGCCCATCAAAGAATGTGACCCTTGGGATTATAGGGATTCCACACCCTTGATTTAGAGTAAGGGGATGAGCAACGCAAGATGAAGATAAAGAGTGAAGTTATAAGTTGCTGTTAAGATTTTGTGCTGAAAAAGTCAACGATTTTGCTAAGAATGTGAAATGCTAAGAGTGCAGCTCATTGTTGGCTTCAGTATACAAACTGTACAGAATTGGGTATAGGTAATGTAATTCTCTGCAGGGAGACCTGTATTCTAATATAAGTACTAGCTCATGGGTAGGCAAACTAAGGCCTTGGGGCCGGATCTGGCCCAATCGCCTTCTCAATCCGGCCTGCGGACGGTCCGGGAATCAGCGTGTTTTTACATGAGTAGAATGTGTACTTTCATTTAAAATGCATCTCTGGGTTATTTGTGGGGCATAGGAATTTGTTAAACCCCCCCCCCATATAATCCGGGCCCCCACAAGGTCGGAGGGACAGTGGACTGGCCCCCTGCTGAAAAAGTTTGCTGACCCCTGTACTAGCTCAAGGCCACTACTGTTAGATTTTTTTAAAAGCTGTTGCTTTAAATTGTTTTTAAATGCTATATGTTAATTTTCATTTCTGCATTTGTAGGCTGGGGGGGAGTTGGAATGGGGTTTTTGTTAGGAAGTGTGGGAGTTTTTATTAGTTTGTACACATTAGTATTGTTAATTGTTTTAATTATTTTTGGCCTTTATATTGTAACCTTGTGTTGTGAACCGCCCTTAGACCTACGGGTATAGGGTGGTATACACATTTAATAAGCAACAACAGCATGCACCGAAGCATGCCGACACCTATTTGCAGTGCCAGTTCTGCAAGCGTTGTCTGCACATACCAGCACCACCAGCTTGCTCCTTTCGCAGATTCCAGGCAAGTAAGGGTAGGGTGGCACACTGTCTCCCTTCAAGCAGGAACTCAGCCACTGGAAGATGCTCGGAGGTTCAGCCGAAAAAAAGGAAGGGTGATGCATGAAACCTGTTTGGGCTGAATCATACAAAGTATCAGGTCAGGTGTGCCATTTTAATAATACGGAGGTGGTTCTAAAAAAGAAGAAGGTAAAGGACCCCTGGACGGTTAAGTCCAGTCAAAGGCGACTATGGGGTTGCAGCGCTCATCTCACTTTCAGGCCGAGGGAGCCAGCATTTGTCCACAGACAGCTTTCTGGGTCACGTGACCAGGATGACTAAACTGCTTCTGGCGCAACGGGACATCATGACGGAAACCAGAGCGCACGGAAACACTGTTTACCTTCCCGCCACAATGGTACCTATTTATCTACTTGCACTGGCGTGCTTTCGAACTGCTAGGTTGGCATGAGCTGGGACAGAGCAACGGGAGCTCACTCAGTCACAGGGATTCAAACTGCCAACCTTCTGATTGGCGAGCCCAAGAGGCTCAGTGGTTTAGATCACAGCGCCACCCGTATAGGATTAATGCTATCAGACCAGCTTTAAATCATTCATATAGAGCTAACAAACTCCTTCGCCAGAGCTGGGGAACTTGGGGTCCCCTGCCCTCAAGATGTAGCTGAGATAGGGGACCAGTGCTTTCCAGATGTTCTATTTCAACTCCCATCAGCCCCAGACAGCAAGGCTAATAATCGAGGGAGTTGTAGTCTAAAGCATCCAGAACTCACCATGTTCCCCGTACATAGATTATGGTGCCAACTATCTCTGGCCACTGGCTAGGCTGCATGGGGTTGATAGGAGTTGGGGTACAATTATAACATCTGGAGGGTCACAGGTTCCCCATCCCTGAGCTATGTTCCAGCCTGCATATTTGCAAACTAAAACACCAGTGACCTCAGGCCAAAGGAAACCAAACGCAAGTAAGTCCTGAGCACCTCTGATACTTCTCACTACCTGGAGAATTTGGATGCACATAACAACATTGCGGGAACTTTGGTGTCTATGGTAAATATATATTTTATTTTCTGGGGGCAGAATTAATTGCTTCACAAACAGCATCCATTGACGTAATGCATAGAATTTAGTACCACAGTTAATTGTGATTGCCATATACAGTGGTGCCTCGCAAGACGAAAAGAATCCGTTCCGCGAGTCTCTTCGTCTTGTGGTTTTTTCGTCTTGCGAAGCAAGCCCATTAGCGGATTAGCGCTATTAGCGGCTTAGCGGGCTTAGCGGATCAGCTGATAAGCGGCTTAGCGGCTTAGCGGATCAGCTGATAAGCGGCTTAGTGGTTTAACGGATCAGCTGTTAAGCGGCTTAGCGGATCAGCTGATAAGCGGCTTAGCGATCAGCTGTTAAGCGGCTTAGCGGATCAGCTGATAAGCAGCTTAGCGGCTTGGGGAAAAGGGGGGGGAGGGAAAAAACCCCGCAGGAACTCGCAAGACGTTTTCGTCTTGCGAAGCAAGCCCATAGGAAATTCGTTTTGCGAAGCACCTCCAAAACGGAAAACCCTTTCGTCTAGCGGGTTTTCCGTCTTGCGAGGCATTCGTCTTGCGGGGCACCACTGTAGCAGCTTAGGTCAACTGGGTGCTCTCTAGATGGTTCGGACTACAATTCCCATCAGTCATGCTGGCTAAGGCTGATGGGAGTTGTAGTCCAAAGCATCCTGAAGGGCACCCGGTTGGAGAAGGCTGCTGCGGAGGAGGGTAAGAGGCTATAAGGACCATGAACCATTGGCAATCTGTTTTCCAGTTCCGGGAGTCATTAAAATAAATGCTATTACTGGATTGTATACCGCATGTGGAGAAAGCTAAAAAGATCTAGGACTGCAGTTTAGTAACAGCTCCACAGTCAGAGTCTTCTAAAGCATGGCTTCTAAACACACAGTAGATTAGTGACACAGTTACTAATACGAATGTTCTTCTCCAAAGCAAACCAAGCTATTCTCTAGAAACGCACCTGGATCAATTATGCAGGCTTGGCTGGAAGTCTTTACAAGCACTGGATAGTCTCTGTAGTAATAATCAAGATAAGCTTCCAGTTTCAAGTCCCTAAAAGGGGGAAATAATAAACAAGTGCATAAAGTTATGAACTCTGATGGTGTCACCTCTTACTTTTCTCTGTACTATTCTCTAAACATTCACCTGTTCACTCCATTTACTTAAATTTGTAAAAAATAAATAAAGATCAGGTGTGCTTTAAAACCCAACTCCAAATCCTCTGACCTGCTGCCAGGAAACACCACCGGCCAGAGTTCACACCCACAAGGACATACCTTGCCAGCTGAACCAGAAGGACGACGAGGGAACGAATCCCTTCGCCCATCAAGCAATTCAGCTTGAGCTCCTCGTAGATCAAGTGGAGCACGCAGAAAATAGCTGGGATGTGGGGGAAGAGAAGAGTGGTGGAATCCAAGCAGTGGTTGGGCGAGAGGCTATCCTTAGGAGATTTCACTTCCAGTGGATCCAGCCGTAGAGCTTTGGCCAAAGGGTGAGACTCAACATTTTTATGATAGTCAGAATTTAGCAGATATTCCCAGTCCTGGATTAAAGGAAAGGAAAAGAGATAGGACACATGAGACAATCCTGCATACTAAATTGTTTTAGTTTATATAGTTTATATTTTTAAAAGGAAAGAGGAATGCAAAGCAGGGAGTTAAAAACACCAAAGAAAACGAGATCACCAATGCGATCTTATAGGCAACATTTACAGTTCTCAAGCTGTTTTTAAAAAGATGCTTATTAACACGCTGTTGGTTTTAAGAAACATAATCCTGTGGCCTCTGAAAGACAACTGTTGCATAATGTTTTATTAGCAGGAGTTAATATGAATGTACCTATTGCAACAGGATCCTTCTCTCGCTGGTGTGGCCTATTTTGGAGCCTATTTTGTCAAGACATTGTTTGCTTGCTCATTAGCATTTAAGGTCACAGTTCAGAAACCGGCACCCACAACAATGTCTTTCATATTGCGAGATCAGGAAGAAATGTTGCCTGGTCAGCTGCTGAAACATGCACCAATGGTGATCATTTGCATGTGTCAAATAGGTATCAGAGAGCAGACAAAGTTTTGTTTATCGACCCCAAACACAATACTTTTTTCAATGCCGCCATTAACAATCTGAGCTTGTTGTTGTTGTTTAGTTGTTTAGTTGTGTCCGTCTCTTCGTGACCCCATGGACCAGAGCACGCCAGGCACTTCTGTCTTCCTCTGCCTCCTGCAGTTTGGTCTAACTCATTCTGGTAGCTTCGAGAACACTGTGCAACCATCTCGTCCTCTGTCGTCCCCTTCTCCTTGTGCCCTCCATCTTTCCCAACATCAGGGTCTTTTCCAGGGAGTCTTCTCTTTTCATGAGGTGGCCAAAGTATTGGAGCCTCAGCTTCAGGATCTGACCTTCCAGTGAGCACTCAGGGCTGATTTCCTTAAGAATGGAGAGGTCTGATCTTCTTGCAGTCCACAGGACTCTCAAGAGTCTCCTCCAGCACCATAATTCAAAAGCATCAATTCTTCGGCGATCAGCCTTCTTTATGGTCCAGCACTCAATCTGAGCTATCTTGTACCAAATCTGAGCTACCTTGTACCAAAACACAACTCCAAATCGGATGAAGTGGCCTCTAGTCCACAAAATATGTCATAGTACATTTATTAGTCTTTTAAAGATGCCCCTGCACTCTCCATGGTTTTACTTACAGCTATCCCTCTGGGAGCTTTTTATGTCAAGCAGCTAATCATCAAAGTTCATCAAGTGATATGCAGACCTGTGAAATCAGCCTTCAGTCCAAAACACCAGGTTGTGGCTGAAGTACAAACTCTCACCTGTTGGACTACAAATCCTACCCCTGCTGTAAGTCGAAAGAGCACACCTGATGCTCACATAACACCAAACAAGTTCATGCAAATGTGTGTGTTTTTTAGCTAAGCCCCATACAAGTCTAGGAAGCAGCATCTCTCAAACCAGAGGAATGCACAAAAATCCTCCAGCTGGTCAGGAACTACTAATTAAAATGATAAATTATTCCCTTACTTCATCTGATCCTGTCTCTGACGGCCGGGCTTTCTTGGGAGCAATGACTGGAGAAAGAGAGCCTTCAAAATCAAGCTGAAATAAACAGATAAATAAATCATCACACTAGGCACTGAATTTCAGTTTTCATACATTACAGAAATTGTTCTATCAGAAGAAGCAAAGCTGATCGTGCAACAGTTCCACGTACAATTGTGATTATTTCTTTGCATTAGCCTCCGCCACCTGGAACCCTGCCCAATTTGGACTAAAACTCTCACTAGCCCCAGACAACCTGGAGGTTGGCTGTCCCTGCTCTAAGATCTATGTTGTTGTTGTTTAGTCGTTTAGTTGTGTCCGACTCTTCGTGACCCCATGGATCAGAGCACGCCAGGCACTCCTGTCTTCCTAAGATCTATACTGAACTATTGTATAGTGCCAAGCAATAACTAGTAAGATGTATGAGCACCCAAAATCAAGGGAACCATGCTGTTGCTAGTGCTTGCAAGATTCTGTGTATATATAGTTTAATTCTAAGGTAGATTGCATCAGAAGTACAGGGAAGGGACAGGATACATTATCTCAACAATACCTTGTTACTAGCAGAAAGCCTGAAGGTATTTGGATCAATAATAATAATAATAATAATGTAGTAATAATTTATTATTTATACACCAGCCACTCTGGGTGGCTCCCAGCGGAATAATAATAATAATAATGTGATAAAACATCAAACATTAAAACTTCCCTAAACAGAGCTGCCTTCAGATGTCTTCTAAAAGTCAGATAGTTGTTTATTTCCTTGACATTTGATGGAAGGGCGTTCCACAGGGCAGGCGCCACCACCAAGAAGGCCCTCTGCCTGGTTCCCTGTAACCTCACTTCTCGCAGCGAGGGAACCGCCAGAAGGCCCTTGGAGCTGGACCTCGGTGTCCGGGCTGAACGATGGGGGTGGAGACGCTCCTTCAGGTATACTGGGCCGAGGCCGTTTAGGGCTTTAAAGGTCAGCACCAACACTTTGAATTGTGCTCGGAAACATACTGGGAGCCAATGCAGGTCTTTCAAGACCAGTGTTATGTGGTCTCGGCGGCTGCTCCCAGTCACCAGTCTAGCTGCCGCACTCTGGATTAGTTGCAGTTTCCGAGTCACCTTCAAAGTGCGCACTGCGGTAGTCCAACACTTCAGAGCACATGGTGGAATTCCCACCCTTCAAGTGACGCCTTAGTATTAAGCTGTTGGTGAGAAGTCAAGTGATGTCGCTGCAGAAGTCACTTACATTACGAGTCCAGGCCACTCTGTCCGTGTTGTAGCCCATCATGTTCATGAGGCAGGTAACAAATAAGTTCCACTCGGAGTAGTAACTTGGTCCGCCCGGTGCGTTGTAGGCATTGTACCACCTGACGAGCATTTGCACGGCTACTTCTCTGGGCAGGATACACTTAATGCCTTGTAAACATCTTTTGACTGTTTAGGGTAAAGGGGTGAAGAAAGAACTGCTCAGATTACCGTTTGGTCATAGAGCTACTCAATCCATTTCTGTAACTTGAAAACCATTTGCTTTTAACTGGCCCAGGGTGACACCATCAAATTTTATAAAATTATACATGGCATGGAGCAAAAGCAGATAGAGAAAAGTTTTTCCTCCCTCTCTCATAACATAAGAATTCATGGACATCCAAAAAGGACTTGCTTTGTGCCCCAGCCTACAGGAATCAGCTGTGAAACGATGGGGTTAATTTTGTTCTCCTGGTCCTGTTCTCCTAATCATGGCATAAAGACCTGAAAGTGATAATTGGTCAAGCAATTGAGTCCTATGCAAGTTAAGTCTACACTGGTTCAGAGCTTGGATTTTAATTTGCTGATTATTTGTCACTGGTGAGACAAAGCAGGGGGGAGGAGAGCTCACAAGCAAGAACAAAAAAGTATTATTATTCAATATCATACCTAATTCTGAAGTTGCAATTTCTGGGATGGTAATTCTGACCATGGAGCCACTGCTGAGTTCCTGGGAGAAGAAAAACAACAACAGGTGAATTATCTAGCATATGCCATTCACATAAACTAATGTGATCGGTTAACATGATCAAGAGACCCATGGACAAACAAAAGCACGGTCTTTTTCTTTTGGCAAGAGGCCCCCAAAGGGAAGAATATAAAAAAATGGGAAAGGAAAGATCCTTAACACCAGGGTCTCACTCTCTCTGCTCATCAACAAGCAAACTGTGGTTTGGAGAGCTAACAAATGATGAACTAGGAAGTTTATTTGTTAAACCCAGAACAAGAAAGAGAGAGACAAAGCTCACGGACACTGGGACCAAGTTTTAGATTAATGCATGGATGAGCAAGGATTTGAAATTGCGTTTCCCAGAACCAAGCTGGAAACCCTTCAATTACTGTGCCACACTGTGCTTCGACTAAGGTCAGCTAACTCTCAATCCACAGAACACCACTTACCAGAGTCACTCTGTTCTGGACAGGATCTCTCACAGAATGAATAAAAGTTGAAAGTTGCTGAAAAGTGCAATCATCAATGTAAGAGGAATTTTGAAGTTTGGAAGAATCCCTCAGCTCTGGAACAGGGGACAACACGCCCTGCTTAAAAGGGGGGCAAATATTAAAATCTTTTAGCACTATTCTCAACAGCCCAGATTCAGGATTAAACAAAACAAATTTCCTTAGCAGGTTCAGAAAGATATGAATCGAGCTGCGACTACAGTTTCTTTACAATCTGTTTGTTTGTTTACAATATTTAAATACATCGAATACAGAAATAAATCACAACGGACAGAAACAATGGATTAACATTCATTGCCTTAAGATTGCAATTTTTAAAGGCCTGGGAGAATTAAAAGGTCTTCATAGAACTGAAAAAACCATAAAGAAAGTAGCAAGCAAGTCTCTTTGGGGAGGCCATTCCACCATCAGGGGGCCACCACTGAGCAGGTCCTCTTCCTAGTTGCTACAAGTTTCCTTTCACTTGGCAAAGTCACCCAGAGCTGGGCTTCTGAAAAGCATCTCAAGGTTTAGGCAGGTATATGTGGGAGAAGGTGAGCTTTCAGCTAACTTTGCTGCCCACTCTAAAGGGCCATGAAGGTCAAAACTAGGATTTAGAATTGGGACTTCCAGGGCATATGTCTGCAACCCGTGGTGTCTGAGCAGAATGCCAAGAACCACACTTTTCATTTAGCCTTCCACCTGACCCGTATGTGCCCAGCTTTTGTGGGCCTCATTTCTCCCCAAAGAGCCCTCCCCACAAGTCCCCATTCTGTGTCCAAACACAAACAGGGCAATAGTGACAGCGATGATCTATACATCCACAGAGCCCCTTACCTCATCTAAGGGTCCCAGGTGCTTGTTCAAGGGCTTGGAAGGAGTATTGGCATTGTCCAGAGGGGTGCTGGGGCGAGGCATCTGATTCGACATCGTCAGTGACGGAGCTGGCAAACCAGGTATAAAAACCTTCCCTACCTTGTAACGGGCGAGAAATGAAGAAACTAAGTAGAGTTCCAAGAGAGAGAGCTTTTAAAGTCCAAAGCGTCCGTAAAAAGACAAGCCTAACAACGAATGCAATGCTAGAATTCAGCTGTAAGTAATAAATAACCACCTTTTGGCTCTAGCTGCTTCCCCCCACAGAAGGAAACAAAGTCCTTGGACTTTAAAAGGTTGCCAAACCTCAAACTAGAGCAGGGTTTCCCAAACTTGGGTCTCCAGCTGTTTTTTTGGACTACAACTCCCATCATCCCTAGCTAGCAGGACCAGTGGTCAGGGATGATGGGAATTGTAGTCCAGAAACAGCTGTTTGGGAAACCCTGAGCTAGAGGAAAAGTTTTTGAGGTTTCTTTGCTTGGTTTGCAACCGAGTAGCATATAAGTTTTATGAAATAAACACTGTAAAACGAACACTTACCCGAACCACTCCGGTGTACAGGACTAAGTTTCCATTGCTTTCCAGAACCAGCATTGTGTCAATGCTCTGTAAAGGCCAAAAGAAAAAGAGTAAATTCATCCGCTGGCATTTGAGCACATGCGATCAAGTGGCATTAAACCTGTCTGCACACTCTACATTTCACAGTCTCATACTTACTTCCACTGGAGCTGCATCCTTTGCCGGGATGTTGGTGACAGAGCCAAAGATCAACTGTGACATGTCGTTACTCTGTTGAAACTTTACACAGCTAAACACCAGAGGAGGAAAAAAGCAAATTTCTCCAGTATTATTTTTGCATTGCAGTTTTCCAAAAAATATCATGGCTGCCAGTTGGGAAGGCTACTGATGCTTAACTTTTTGTATATAAATATGAATGACTGCTGTTGCTTGACTTGAAGCACCACGTTTAGAGAGGAACTCGGTTTCGTCATCAAACCCAAGCTTGGTCAATGAAATTTTTTGATACGATTTCTGAAATGGCAAGCCGTGGTTTTTAACTGGACGATAAAGGAGAATAAAAAATGACAGTTGGTACTTTCTATGATTTTTGCATGTCTGAATTGACAAACCATCATTAGGGGGAACTGCTTCACCTCTGGAGAGCCCTCCAACATACAAATGAAAATGATGAGTAATAGGAAATGAAATCTGAGAAGCAGTCAGAACCAAGTGCTCGTGGTAAACAATTAACTGTGGCTTGTTATTTGCCATACTGCTTGTATGGCGAAATGCTTCTAAGCAGTTTATGCTACAAAATCAAATATAAAATTCCTACCTAATTAAAATACACAATAACAATTTCACCAGAGCATTAAAACATTCTAAATTAATACATACAAGCCAGTTAAAAAGGCTGACAATTAAAACAGTTTAAAAACAGTTAAAGCATTAAGATCAGAAGTTCACGTTCAGGGGAAAGCTTGCCTAAACAAGAACCAGCGGAATGCCAATACTGATGGGGCCTCTCATATGTCTGTGATATTTCTCATTTACCATGATATGCGAATGAGTCCCCTTTCTGAATGCTAAAACTGGGATTTGCAATAATATTCTAATATTCAGCTCTCTTTTGGTTATGTTTCCAGTATTTTAGACAACAATTCGAGAAAGTCACATATCAAAATGCACTTACCGTAACTGAAGCTGGGACTCCACTAAGTAGCACAAAAACTTTTGCCCACAAAGGTCAGTCGTAATAAATACTTTGGAAGCTTGAGAATTCTTCTCTCTGTCAATATTCAAATAATCAAAAGAAGAATAAAGTTAAGCTTACTCAAATAAAGTTTACAAATTAAACTGTAGATTATTTTATGCTTCCCTAACAGAGCAATCCTAGGCGTAGGAAAATCTTCCCCGTTTTATTTCATCTCTGAATCCATTTTGCACAATCAGAGTTTTGCAGTCTGCAATCTGGGTGTGAGCTTTACTAAACCTTTCCTAACAGAGCAAACTAACTCTTCTAGCACAACTGAAAGAAATGGAATGCATCAAGAACGAAACAATAGGAGATACGGTCAAGCACAGTAGTGTCACAGGGGTCTCCCCCAACAATTCTTAATGAACCAGAGCTCCTAGAATACTTTAGGGAAACCCATGACTGCCCAAAATGGTATATCATGCTGTTTTGAATGTACAGTGTGAATGTGGCAGACATCTATTGCGAATAGATTTGTGTCAATCTGAACTTTTTCTTTGGTTTATTACGGTAGATCATGGCATAAGTATGATGCCTGAGTTCTGAGTTTCCTCTTCCCTCCTTGTTCCTTTTCCCTTGTGTGCTGTATTCTTATTAATTTGTTTGTTTGTTTATTATAATGTAAGCTTGTGGGTAGGGAATGTCTTGTTCTGATTTAATGTAAGCCACTCTAGGAGACATTTTTTGCTGAAGAGCGGGGTACAAATACTCTAAAATAAATAAATAAATAAAACGTTGACATAACTTAAAATATGACATGGGATCCTCCATTATGAATCTTGCTTGACCCTGGCAATAGCACCCCCACAGTTGCTGTGCTTTCGAGCAACTAACATACAGAAAGGCATTCCGCCTCTGGGAGCAGTGGCAGAACAGATCTCCCCAAGTTTTTTCTTCTTACTTCAGAGCAGCCATTGGGGTGGGATGAGGCACGGAACTGGATTAAGGCAACAGCACCTCCTGATTTTTAACATTTCCGGGTGGATACCGTGCTCGGCTTCTTAACTCTGCTTTTACCGGCGGACAGGCACGTCAGTTCAGACACATACTTGCAATGCTATTCTCTTCTCCAAACTTTACGAACAATAAAACACCCCACTCAAGAGAAAGCAGCCCCCTGCTGTTGAGACCCCTTGCTGAATAGATAGGATTATCCCAAACCTTGTGGTAGTGAAGGCCTCCGTCCATAGATGGTCTATGCAAAGCTCTGGAACAATGAGTTCCGTTTCCGGGGCGAAGAACGAGTCCATCGCACTGTTTGGAGAATGGCAGGCACTGTGCCTCCTGGGAGACTGTGCATGGTTGGAGAAGTTGAATCTCTGCACTCCTGAGAACGAATGCACCCCTAAGGCTGGGGAGTGAGATCGGCTGTGAAAAGAAAACCATTTTTCCCGGTGATGAGTTACATGTCCAACGCCCCTTTTTTTCCACCAGAAAGCCACTTCCAAGAGAGGAGGAGATCTACGTTTTAATTCTTCACTTCAGATCTTCAACTATGAACTCATGGGCTTCTGGAAAGTGGCTATCTTTCAGCAGGCACCAGCATGTATGATATGGAGATAAAAAATAATACTGGCCTCACTTTCCACAATGAGCAAGGGGATCAAAGAGCAGTGTGGCAGCCACAGCGGCTTCCAACACAGTGTAAGAGATTGCAGCCTGGATGGAAAACTGATGCAATCCTTAAGTTTGTACGGAACTGCTTGAAGCTTGCACTTGGAGTGATGGGAAAGAGAAGCAGGTTCTTAGGATCCTGCTTAAGGACTATAATTAGAACTACAGGCAACAGGTTTTATTGGAATGTATGAATGTGGCCGTGTAGCACTGCAAGAAGGAAGCAATAGGCCCTAACACCAAGCAGCATACAATCTAAGCCTCCAGCAACCTCCAGATGTTTTGCATTACAACTCCCAACAGCTACAGCCAGCACAGAAATATTTCTTAAGGTAATGTTCTTTGCAGCTGGCCAGGAATTGACAAGGCGATTAACGTTCCAAGGGGGGCAGGGAACCTCTACAGCAGCGTTTCCAAAATGTGGAATGTGGAAACTGCAACGTCCCTATCACAGTTTCATAATGTAGGAAGAGTGAAAATGGGGGTTGTGTTCAACACAGCACTAAGGCAGGGTCCCATTAGCGCAAGGATTACTGCTAGCAGAATGGGATTCTCCAAACCTCTCCTCCACCCAACTGCCCCCTAAATCTGCTCGAGCGATTCCCCCAAACTCTCCAGACCAGATTCGGGAAGGGTGCAGGGCGTGCATGGGCAAGTTCCATTGCACTCATGCTACTCTTCGCATGAATAAGTTAGCTGATTACGACCTGAGATTCTTAAATTGCCCCGGTGGGAGAGAAAGGTTGGTGACCCAACAAGGTCTGAGAGGCTAAAATCTGCTAGGGAAGCTGAAGAGCAGCGAATGCATTTCAGCTTACGAAAGATATGATCCCAACACACGGGAGCTTGGCCTCCACAACCCTTTAAGGCTGGAGTCTGAAGCTGCAACCACCCGCAGAAGATTTCAGTAAGCCAGGATTTGTAGCATGCATGGTTCCCCCGTATAGTTCTTTGCAAATCGACAACCAAAGCTTACCAGCCTACCTTAGAGCTGCCATGTTGGATATGGAGGGTGATCGGGAGTGAATGCTGGGGGACGATGCTGACCTGCTCTGACTGTGAATAGAGGAATAGTTCTGGAACGGGGAAGCCACGGGCGAGTCACCCTTAGAGAGGCTCCGAAGGTGGACTGTGAAGGAGCTGCTGGCGGCCGCATACTGAGGGGTCCCCACCTGCTCGGAGAATTTCAAGACAGCGCTTTGCTCCTGCAGAGAAGAGCACAACAACAAAAATCGGCTTATGTTGTTCGAAACTGCATAGCTTTTACATAACAGGATACCTTGAAGTACAGACCTAATTTTAAAACATAGAAACATAGAATTGTAGAGTTGGAAGGGACCCTGAGGAGCCCAACCCCCTGCAATGCAGGAAGATGCAACTGACCCATACAGGGATCGAACCTGCAACCTTGGTGTTACCAGCACCACGCTCTAACCCACTGAGCTATCCAGGCTCAGTAACATGAAATGTATCCAAAGTTTAAGGGGCCAACTAAACGAGGAGAGGAGAGGTCCAGGATCATAAAAAAACATAAGAAGAACCCTACTGGATCCAGCCAAAGGTCCATATAACCCTTCTTCTTCTTCTTCTTCTTCTTCTTTGGTATCACTCATAGCTGAGTAAGATTGTTTTCCATGAAAACAGCCTTAACAGTGAGTCTGTAAGTGACTGTGGAGCCAATTCTGGATCCACACGTCCTTCTACAGTGGGGACATAGGTTTCCAGGCGAGATTTGATCATGGCGACAGTTTGCCAAGCATGCCTTCCTCTTAGCACGCTTCTCCCTTTCATCCTGAGTTTGAGTGTTTTCAAAGCCTTTGGTAAAGGCTGTTCTCCAACTGGAGCGCTCACAGGCCAGTGTTTCCCAGTTACAGTATTGGTGTTTATACTACATTTTTAAAGATTTGCCTTGAGAAAGTCTTTAAACCTCTTTTGTTGGCCACCAGCATTACACTTTCCATTTTAAAGTTCGGAATAGAGCAGTTGCTTTGGAAGACGATAATCTGGTGATCTTTGCTTCCCTATAACCCAGCACCCTGCTCTCAAAGTGGGCAAACAGATGTCTATGGGAAGCCTCCATACAGGACCTGAGTGCTACAACTTATGATTTTGAGCAACTACATACAGAGGCATCCCACCTCTGACAACAGTGGCAGCACAGATCCCCCCAGGTTTTTCTCCTTTCTTCAGAGCAGTCATTGGGGTGGGACGAGGTATTGGAACTGGATCAAGGCAGCAGAGCCTCCCAGTTTTTAACATTTCCACATGGATCCTGCGCTTGGGCCCTTACCTCTGCTTTTACTCGACGAAGCGCCCAGATGGTATGCACACTCTGAGTGGCGTCGTACGTCATTAGGATGGAAGGCTCAGCGTTGAGGAAAACAATTCTCATCGAATAGTCAGCAACGTACTGTACTCTGGCAGAGCCAAACAAACCTGCTAAGCGGGAGAAAAGTCAGGTTAGCCACCTAAGAGAAAAGGCCGGGCAGGAGACATAGTTCAAAAACAACATGTGCACACCATCGTAAACATTGGCAACATGGAGAAGGCAGGAGTGTGGTGGTGCAGAACTAATGTGGGGCCTTGTGGGGCTGTAGTAATATGCCTTTGCTTGGGTTATTTTCAGCTGTGGAGACTTATCTGTCTATTTCAACATTAAAAAAACCCCTATCAAGGTACAGTAAGTCACCTGCATTTTAGAGGATGAGAAACAAGTCCCAATAATATATTAACAAAATGAATGGGCACATCTCAGCAGAAGGCTAATTACAAAAACCTCTTCCTGGCATTCCCAATATGGATTATTTTAAAATTTAGAGGGCAGAATTAACCTCTTGAATTTAATCACAACTACATTTTCCTGAGATGTTCACAAGCTCAGCACTGTAAGATAGTTGCATATACATTGTATTGTAACATTTAAAAAATGGTATAAAAGGGTAGTTTATAAATATAATCAATGTCTTTTGTCCTGACCCCTTGGAAAGTATGGAAGTATTTCTCCTGTGTGCGCTTGTTAGGGGTACACCCCCCTTTTAATTTTCTAATTCTACTACCATTAATGCAACAGAGAGTTGAAACGTCTTCAGCAAAATGTCTTTTACTAAGATAAACGCTCAAAGGTTTCTTTTTGGATTTTGGTCTCCTCAATCAATCACATTACAGTCCTTGCAAATACTATAATTGAGGCCTCCAGAGAAAGAGGAAGTGCCAGGATTTCCCCTGTACTTTAATCTATTTCCACGACCTGCTAAATTTTATAACTAATAATTACTGCCCAGGTTGGTTTGCTTTTTTCCTCCTCTCTCCTAATCCCTTTACCTCTTGTGCCCTGACTTTTTGATTGTAAGACTTAGAAAGATTTTTGCTGCTCTGCGAGCTTGGTTCTCCTAAATAGCAGAGCAAAAAATGCTCAATCAATGAAGCAATTAGTGTTCCAAATTCCTAAATGTCACCAAAAGCAGGGACCAGCAAAACGTCAGTCAAGCATCTCCGAATACTGCTCAGCTGGACTTGTTTTTCCTCCTTGTTTTTAAGAATTACATATTTTACCTGCTGACTTACAAACCATTGGTGTTATTTCATCTAACGGATGCAGCATGCTGAACATGGTGGGCAAAGGTTCTCTGAAAAGAAAGTGGGACAAAATATTAAGCACTGCAGGCAAAACGGAATGCAGCAACTAAAGCCTGCACTCCTAACCTGATTTACCTGGGAGTAAGCGCCACTGAATTCAATGGCGCTTACTTCTGAGTAGACATGGTTAGGATCACAGACTTAACTCAGTACAGCATCCTAAATCTATTGTGAACTGGTAAATAACAAAAGGTTTGCATATAACAGCAGACTGTAGTTTGGCAAACCAGGAAGTGTCCCCTGAAGCTGGGAAGATAAGGGGAGGCAGGAAGGAAACACGCTCATTCCCAGTCCTCCAAACTACAACTGGGAAGATCAGATAATATGACATTTGAATACAGCCTGTATGTGTGGACTTTAATAAGTTAGGATCACATTCAGAAATCGTTTTTAAGTTGGTTTATGCTTTTAAATTATTTTTAATTTAAAACTTTGAAATGTAACCCCCAAAAAGCAAGATAGGTAAATAAACAAACAAACTGTGTGACATTATATCTCAGAATATACAGAACAGAGCAGCCCTACTAATATCATGTTGTGCTTTGCACTCTTCGAACTGATACTGGTTAAACTTCCAGGATGAGGCACGGCATAGTCACACAAAAAACCTGGTTCTTGCAGATATTCATGCTGTCCAAATACCTGCGTATGCTTCTGGGGCTTTTCTGTTAAGTGATTGACATATTTGTATGTACTTTAAATTAATACCAATCTTCTGCAAAGGTGCCTGCATGTTTTTATTTTCAAAGGGACATTTAGCATAACTTGGAAAATTTACAGATTAAAATCAGATTGAAAGGAAAATCTCATGAGATTTTTATCCACTCTGTTAGCTACAGAATTATCCTGCCAAGAGACATGCCAAGAAATGAAGTTAAAGAGCCACAGAATGTGTGGGCCGTCACATTTACTAAGGACACTGGCCCAGCTTCTTACCATGCAGTCAAGAATCAATAAAGTCTAATTACCTGGCTGGGCTAAGAGGCACTTCGTGCGAAGAACTGCTACGTTCAAACAGCAAGCCATATTTTGTTGGCCAGACATTGGCTACCTATATGTAAAAAAAAGTTTTATTTTTAAAAACATCATTCACATGTTTATATCCAGGATATTCAAAGTGTTGGTGCTGACCTTTAAAGCCCCAAACGGCCTCGGTCCTGTATACCTGAAGGAGCGTCTCCACCCCCATCGTTCAGCCCGGGCGCTGAGGTCCAGCTCCGAGGGCCTTCTGGCGGTTCCCTCATTGCGAGAAGTGAGGCTACAGGGAACCAGACAGAGGGCCTTCTCGGTAGTGGCGCCCGCCCTGTGGAACACCCTCCCTTCAGACGTGAAGGAAATAAGCAGCTATCCTATCTTTAAAAGACATCTGAAGGCAGCCCTGTTTAGGGACGTTTTTAATATTTAATACTGTATTGTTTTTAACACTCAATTGGGAGCCGCCCAGAGTGGCTGGGGAAACCCAGATGGGCGGGGAATAATAAAAAATTATTATTACTATTATTACTATTATTATTTGAACACTTCTGATTTTCAGCTGGCTGGCAGATAATGTCAAGGCTTTAGGTAAGGTAAAGGGACCCCTGACCATTAGGTCCAGTCGTGACCGACTCTGGGGTTGCGGCGCTCATCTCGCTTTACTGGCCGAGGGAGCCGGCGTACAGCTTCCAGGTCATGTGGCCAGCATGACTATGCCGCTTCTGGCGAACCAGAGCAGCGCATGGAAACGCTGTTTACCTTCCCGCCGGAGCGGTACCTATTTATCTACTTACACTTTGACGTGCTTTTGAACTGCTGGGTTGGCAGGAGCAGGGACCGAGCAATGGGAGCTCACTCCGTCATGGGGATTCGAACCGCCGACCTTCTGTGGTTTAACCCACAGCGCCACCCACGTCCCAAGGCTTTAGGTACCAGGACACAAATGATTTCTGCTTTGTTTATAACATGGGTGGGGAACCAAGGGTCAAATGCAGCCCTCCAGGTCTCTCTCTCTCCCTTGGGACTGTCCCCAAGCCGCCCCACCCCCACCCCACAAGCCATGCCCTTCGCCAGTCCTGCTTTCCCCCCTTCTTTTTTGCCTGGCTGGAATATGTCCTTGAACTCGGATAATGCTTCTTACTTCCCTGCAAGGATGTCAGGAGCAGGTGTCAGGGGCAAGTCAGCAATAAACTCACACGGCTTCTGTTAAATTAAGTCTTTATTCAAAGAAATAAGACAGCTCAGGAGGCCAGGCTTAGTGAGCACAGCAACTCTTCCCGATTTCTGAATTTGGTTTTCACATATGCTTACCTGAAAGGGCAAAGAAGCAATGTGATCCTTTCCTTCAATGCTGTGGATATTTATGCAAGAGCTCTGTAATATACAGATACACTTTTCTACTACTTCGGTGCTATCTGAAATTGGGGAACAAATAAGCATAATTTAATAATCTTCCATTCAGCTACCCTTCTCCCAAAACCAGACTGCATTTCACACACTTGGTTTCGGGGAAACTATAGCATATTGCAACAGCTGGTGCCTTTCAAGCTGGATTATTGATTACTGTTGTGTTTCATGTTTACGCCTGCAAGCAGATTTTAAGCAACTCGTGAGGAGGGGAAAGTGAGGCATACGTATTTCCAGACTTCAAATGAAGCCTAATAAAAATGAAACATACCTTCCGTTTTGTCAGACCTATCCTTGGGTATAGAGAAATCACACCACAATGCCTGAAACAAAATAAAAATATTCAGCAGAAAGAGTAAACCAGGTTTGGCTATCGGAAAGCTCATTATTTGAAATCTCAGTTATCTAACTGATATTATTTATTTAACACAAATAAATTTAAGTGTTATTTAACACAAAGAATTATACCAAAACCTCACTACACGAACAGCTGATTCAGATATCTGAACAGCCAGAGCTTGCCCACGTCTTCATTTGCGTTTTGCTGCTTGGGGGCAGCCATTTCAGGCAGAAACCGCTTGCATTTACTATTTGCAAACTCCATCTGCAAGTGCCTATGCTTATTTTATTTCATTTACTTCCTTCAATGTATAGCCAGACCTTCCTCTTTTAATTATCCGAAGGTGGGTTACAATAAATACATAACACATCTGAGTGAGGACAACAAAAGCATTTAAAAAAAAGAAAGAGAAGAATTATTTCCGCAAATATAATAATACACCAGGCAATGCAGTGGTACCTCAGGTTAAGTACTTAATTTGTTCCAGAGGTCCGTACTTAACCTGAAACTGTTCTTAACCTGAAGCACCACTTTAGCTAATGGGGCCTCCCGCTGCCACCGCGCCACCGGAGCACGATTTCTGTTCTCATCCTGAAGCAAAGTTCTTAACCTGAAGCACTATTTCTGGGTTAGTGGAGTCTGTAACCTGAAGCGTATGTAACCCGAGGTACCACTGTACTGGCAAAATGACACAATCCAGAGCATTTCCTGTGTAATACACTCTTTTCACCTAAGTCACAATCTCCATTCATTTTTCATTCTCCTACCCCACCTTATTCCTGACGGGATTCAGAAAACATGTTATAATCCTAACTATATTAATGGGTATACAACAAAATTGCTCCTCCCCGCCCCCATCATGTTATTCTCTCCTCATCCAAGTAGTGCTGGGAGAGACTCCTGCCTGAAACCCTGAAGAGCTGCTGCCAGTCAGAGCAGACAATACTGAGGCAGATGGACCTGACATGGCATAAGGCTGCTTCCTATGTTGCTGCTTGCTTATATAAAAAGACCACACAACCCAAACTCCTGAATATCTGACTGGTCGTCTGTGCCACTGATCCCCCACGAGGCTTTCTCCTAAGCAAGTGCAAGGATAATTCTGGCCTCGGTTTCATATGCAACTTGCAGCTAAAGAAGCTCTATGGTACCATGCCAGTTTCCATACCTGCAAAACAGGGCTGTCCACCGTAAACGCTTTGTAAACTGCAGAAGCTTGGCTTTTACTCCCTCTGCTCCAAATGACCATATTGCCGGCCACGTAAAGCTCTTCGTCGTACTCGACTTCTTCACCAACATCACTAATGCCCTTCCTTAGCTGCCAACTTTCCTGAAGGGGGGGAAATGAATAAGAAATATTAGCAAATGCTGCGTATTATGCTTATTGGTGTGATTATTTTTCAAAGACTATCCAGTAGGGAACAGAGAATGGCCCTAGCTAGTTGTAGTTACATTAAGCCGATCTTGCCCTGATCAGTAAAAGTTGAACACATTTCAGTTTGCATGGCCAAAAGGAGCACCAAAGTGATTTAAAGGGAAATTCTGGAACACTCTGGGCGGCTTCCAACAAAATATTAAAATACAATAGTCTATTAAACATTAAAAGCTTCTCTAACAGGACTGTCTTCAGATGTCTTCTAAAAGTCTGGTAGTTGTTTTTCTCTTTGACATCTGGTGAGTGATCCACAGGGTGGGTGCCACCACCGAGAAGGCCCTCTGCCTGGTTCCCTGTAACTTAGTAGAATGTGTCCTTTTATTTAAAATGCATCTCTGGGTTATTTATGGGGCCTGCCTGGTGTTTTTACATGAGTAGAATGTGTGCTTTTATTTTAAATGCATCTCTGGGTTATTTGTGGGGCATAGGAATTCATTCTTCTTCTTCTTTTTCTCCAAAATATAGTCCGGCCCTCGACAAGGTCTGAGGGACAGTGGACCAGCCCCCTGCTGAAAAAGTCTGCTGACCCCTGACCTATCTGTTCATGTTATTAATGTTCCTTGAGTGTTCACTCATCAATAAAATATCAAAATGTGTACCACCTATTCCTATGACTTAGAAACTATTTTAACAGATTGTCGTATTTTCCCATCACGTCTTCTCCTCTTCCCTTCCTCACCGGCTGATCATTTTGATTCAAAACCATAGAACTAGAAGGGACCATCTAGTCCAACCTCCTGCAATGTAGGATTCTTTTGCCCAACCTGGAACTCAAACCCACAACCCTGAGATTAAGAGCCTCATTCTCAAACCAACAGAGCTATTCCAACAGCACACGGGCACATAGGCTTTGTCTGGTTTAAATGCTGATGCCAAAGGCAGTTCTACCTTGTGTTTCTCGTGGATCGTAACTTCCTGAAGGGATCCCACCAAACCAGCCGCTCCGTCCGACGACCAAAGTTCCGAGGCTGGTTGCAGCTGCCGAAGTTGCAGGTTCAGCGCATTCGGGTGGTGCTTGCAGTGGTCACGGCCAAAAGGGACAAACTCCTGCAAATCCCCTGCTGCAATCATCATTACCCTCTCTTCATAGATGTTCGACATGAGTTCCAAATATCAACATTATTTCTGAAGAAAGACCCAATATAGAAGCAGAGGTGGTTTCAAGTGTGACTTTTTCAGCATGCGCAATACTTCGACTCTCCCTTATTCATTTGGCTGCCCTCATTTATCATCATCATCACCAGTGCTTCTTTGGTTTAAAAAATAAATAAAGGTGCCAGTACTCATACTGTGATAGAAGCGCCCTGTATACCTGAAGAAGTGTCTCCACCCTCATCGTTCAGCCCAGACATCCAAATCGGCCCTTTTATTGCACTGAAAATTATCAACCTACACTGAAAATGCTTGAATCAACTGGAGCAAGCTTTTGTAATGGAAGTGAACTGACTTGTAACAGATGCTGTGTATTAAAGGAGTATCTTATGGTTGACAGAGTAACCAACTACACAGTCCTTACCATGTATCCTTAGAAATAAATCCTACGGACTTCAATAAGCTCACTCCTAAGCAACTGAGGTTAGGAGTGCAGCCTAAATTAAGCACGGACTCCAAGCATGTGTTCTAGGTTACACATTCCTCACAGAATTGTAGAGTTGCAGGAACCTCAACTGAAGCTTACATCACAGGCGGCTATCCAACCTCTGCTTAAAAACTTCCAAGGAAGAGGATCCGTGGAATACCCCACCACTTGGTGTCTATCTTGTCCTTTGGACATATGATGAATGGGCAACATAAAAAAATAATAATCTTGTGGTTTCCACAACATTCACAGCGCAATCCTCTTATGTGTTTACAATGGGAATCCTCTTATGTGTTTACAATGGGAAGTCCAACTGAGCTCAACAGTACTTACTTCCAAGGCAGGCTTTGGTGTTTCTTATGCTTTTTACGAATATCCCTGTCCTCGCACAGGGTTGTTGCTGCCCTTTGCAAACCCAAAAAGCTTGACACTTGTGCTCCCCCCCTTCCATACATCCTGCTTGAGGAGTCCCCGGTAAGAAGAAAACTGGAAACCCCAATCGGACAAGGAAGAAAACACAGGTCACTGGGGTGCTTTTCTCCACGAAAGAGATTGCTTTTTTATTGTTATTATGGTATGCATTTTTTTTATTGTAAAACACACACACACAGCTTGCAATCTCAAGATGAAGGGCGGTATAAAAACTGAATGATAATAAAAGCAATAGCAATAACAACCACAATATATCCAATATTTAAATTACTGTTGTTGTTGTTAGGACACGGACAATTATTATTATTATTAGGACATGGATTATTATTATTAGGTCATGGACAATTATTATTATTATTATTATTAGGACATGGACAAGTCATTCTCCGGGATCGATTAGCCGGGCGAGGCTGCAACCCCGCACACCTCTTTGCCCGGGAGGAGAGCCATGCCAACCCGGCGGCTTCCTCACGCGCGCAGAGCACGCGCCGCGAGCGCGGGGCGGGGATGCAGATGCGCGCGCGATACGGAGCCCCGATTCCGCGCCGGAGGAAGCGAGCCGCGGGAAGGGATGGGGAACGGGTCCGAGGGAGGCAGGAGAGGCTGGGCTGGCGGGGGGGCAACAACTGGCTGACGAACCTGAGTGACACAGGAAAGCGCGGTCGGCTGCGGGCCTGGGCTCCAGCGGCTCCTCCCGGTGTCTCTTGCCTGGGTAGCGGCGGGCGGGCGGGCGGGCGGGCGGCGCGGTCTCCCTCCGAAGTTCTCTCAGACGGGCGCCGCCATCTTGGGACTCCCATCACCGCCCGCGCGGCAGGCCGAGGGCGGGACTAGCGCGGGGCACGCCGCAAACTGGCCGGGGGGAGAAGCGCGGGAGTGCGGGGGGGGGGCCGGGTTGGGGGCGTTCGGGGTTCCCCCAGCTGCTAGGGCAGCAAAGAGAGGGCAGGGCAGGGCAACAGTCCCTGGAGAGGGCACGAGGACCAGTGACTGAATAAAAATAAAAAAAAATAAAAAATTGTCCAGTAGCACCTTGTAGAGAAGTGTGCATGCACACGAAAGCTTATACAGAACAAACTTTTTTTTTTTAATATATAATTTTTATTAGTTTTTTTAACATATCATTTTCAACAGTAATTAAACATACTTTTACATCTTATTCCATTTTTTGACTTCCATCAATTCTGTCTGAAAATTTTCCAATCTAATCTCTCAGTATGCATTTCTTATCTTCCCTATTACATTTCAAACTCATAACCAATATCTCTATCTTTTTCTGCTTTGTAACACTTGGTATATTTCTCCTTACAAAACTTCTTGTAGTCCTACTAGCGTAATTTGTTGATTACAGTTGCTCTTCAAATAATTCATATACTTCTTCCAATCTTCTGTAAATCTCTGGTCCCACAGGTTTCGAATCCTTCCTGTCATTTTGTCCAATTCTGCACAGTCCATTAATTTTGTCTGCCATTCTTCTTTCGTCGGAATTTCTTCTTGTTTCCATTTCTGGGCTTACAATACTCTTGCCGTATACCAGAACAAACTTAGTTGGTCTATAAGGTGCTACTGGACAATTTTTTATTTTTTATATTTCAACTGTGTCAGACCAACACGGCTACCTACCTGAATCTAGGGACTAAATGCCGTATTTTTCGCTCTATAAGACGCACCAGACCATAAGACGCACCTAGTTTTTGGAGGAGGAAAACAAGAAAAAAAAATTCTGAATCTCAGAAGCCAGAACAAGAGGGACTGCTGCGCAGCGAAAGCAGCGATCCCTCTTGCTGTTCTGGCTTCTGGGTTAGCTGCGCGGCCTGCATTCACTCCATAAGATGCACACACATTTTCCCCTTACTTTTTAGGAGGGAAAAAGTGAGTCTTATAGAGCAAAAAATCCTGTACTTGGTTTCTTGCTGCTGTCAGATGAGCGTCATCAGATCAGCTGTGCAAAACAATGCAAAGCGGGGTGGGGGGAGAGAATAGGGATCAAAGCGACTAGGAACAGCCAGGAATTTGTATTGAGGTAGTTTTACAGATTGCATGGTGTGTATTTCAGTGGTCTCGTTGCACACAGCCCATAAGCCTGTGCTTGATGAGTGTAGCCTAGAAATTGCACAAACAATTAAAGCGGACGGAGAGAACTTAGCTGCAATTTCCATGGCATTAAGAGGGAGGGGTCACACACACACACACACCATAGCTGTAAACTTTCAGATTTGAAAACAAGGGATCAGCAGCCTTGAAAATAAGGGATCAGCAGCCTCACCTATCCCGGGGACAGTCTATGGCAGTGTTCCCCAACCTTGGGTCTCCAGCTGTTTTCGGACTGCAATTCCCATCATCCCTGACCACTGGTCTTGTTAGCAAGGGATGATGGGAGTTGTAGTCCAAAAACAGCTGGAGACCCAAGGTTGGGGAACACTGGTCTATGGGATATTTAACAATCTGGGATAGCAGCGGGAAACAGTGCTGGAATAAGGGAATTTCCTGCAAAAAAAAAAAGGGGAAGGTTGACAGCTATGGCACACACATACACTCCTGCCCCACCACCATTTCTCACTCCTACTATGCTGATTCAGCAGTGTCTCTCACACCAAATGTAACTGACCCATAGGACTCTAGGAACTGCAAACAGGTTATATGTGCCTTCGTTGTTCATGAAAATCAGTAAAAACAATTTTTAAAAAAGAAAAACTGTGCTGGCAACTGGGACAATACACTGGCACCTAGTGGTTAAGATGGCTATACCATTACAGTATATGCACACTTAACTTGCTAGTATCACTGAAACTCAGTGGATCTTACTTCAAAGTAGCCGCATACATAGTATAGGGCTGCTCCACACATGCAGGTGGTTGAGTCCTGAGGTGGTGGCATAGACTGTTCCACTTCAGGCTTCAGGACGCATATCACTTATTTAATAAAAAAATAAACCCAGCTACTTTAGGAGAAAAGGTCTCCATGTTATGGATACTGCAAGATGGAAAGCCAAGGGAAATTAACCTTGCCAATAGTTCTTGCTATTATTTCTTATCCTAGTGAGGCCACAAGATCTGCTGCCGCTCTGCCGTGAGTTTGTGGGGAGGACCGCTCCCCCCTGAAGCCCTTTTTCCACCTTGGGCCTGGGGGCGGGCCCCATACTCCACCACAGCATATAAGGCTCCAAGGAGGCCCGGGACACTGCTGCTGTTGCTTTGCCGGTGAGTCTTGGGGAGGACCACTCCCCCTTGAAGCCCTTTTTTCCATCTTGGGCCGGGGGGCGGGCCCCATACTCCACCACAGCATATAAGGCTCCAAGGAGGCCCGGGACACTGCTGCTGTTGCTTTGCCGGTGAGTCTTGGGGAGGACCACTCCCCCTTGAAGCCCTTTTTTCCATCTTGGGCCGGGGGGCGGGCCCCATACTCCACCACAGCATATAAGGCTCCAAGGAGGCCCGGGACACTGCTGCTGTTGCTTTGCCGGTGAGTCTTGGGGAGGACCACTCCCCCTTGAAGCCCTTTTTCCACCTTGGGCCGGGGGGCGGGCCCCATACTCCACCACAGCATATAAGGCTCCAAGGAGGCCCGGGACACTGCTGCTGTTGTTTTGCCGGTGAGTCTTGGGGAGGACCACTCCCCCCTTGAAGCCCTTTTTTCCATCTTGGGCCGGGGGGCGGGCCCCATAGTCCACCACAGCATATAAGGCTCCAAGGAGGCCCGGGACACTGCTGCTGTTGCTTTGCCGGTGAGTCTTGGGGAGGACCACTCCCCCTTGAAGCCCTTTTTTCCATCTTGGGCCGGGGGGCGGGCCCCATAGTCCACCTCAGCATATAAGGCTCCAAGGAGGCCTTGGGACATTGCTGCTGCCGCTTTGCCGTGAGTTTGTGGGGAGGACCGCTCCCCCCTGAAGCCCTTTTTCCACCTTGGGCCTGGGGGCGGGCCCCATACTCCACCACAGCATATAAGGCTCCAAGGAGGCCTCGGGACATCGCTGCTGCCGCTCTGCCGTGAGTCTTGGGGAGGACCGCTCCCCCCTGAAGCCCTTTTTCCACCTTGGGCCTGGGGGCGGGCCCCATACTCCACCACAGCATATATGGCTCCAAGGAGGCTTCGGGACATCGCTGCTGCCGCTCTGCCTATGAGTCTTGGGGAGGACCGCTCCCCCTTGAAGCCCATTTTCCACCTTGGGTATGGGGGCGGGCCCCATACTCGCCTCCGCAGCTTATGGGGCTCCAGGGAGGCCTCGGGTGTGTGGGGTGGGGTGGGTGTTTAGTTGGGTGTGGGAATTTGTTTAATTTAATTATGTTGTGTTTGTAACTTTGTTTTTGTTTTTATAGTTTTATTGTTCTGTTGTTTTTTGTATAGGCTTTAATTTGATTTTAAGGGGAGGGGTCAGGGCTGCCTGGGAGTGGGTCCCAGCAAACAAAATGGCTGGGGCAGGTTCCACAGGGGGGGATGCACTCGGACAACCGATCTCAGTGATCACGGGTAGGAGGAGGAGTTACGCTAAGACCAGACCATGTCATTACCGAGGAAGCAGGCTTAGTCGTTGTTTGAGGACTATCCCTGCCTCCAGGTCTGGTCCTGACCGGAAGGATACTGGAATCAACAAGGGAAACCCACATGACCTGAAAGTGTTGCTGTGCAATGCCAGGTCAATGATGAATAAAACCTCTGCCATCCACGACCTGATTGTGGATGGAGGATTTGACCTGGCATGTGTGACAGAGACCTGGTTGGATGAAGCAGATGGGCCCGTCCTTGCCGCTGCTTGTCCACCAGGTTTCTCTTACGCACAGCAACCCAGGCCTTGTGGGCGGGGAGGGGGGGTTGCAGTGATTTTTAGGAAGTCATTAGTTTGCACCAGGCGTCCTATTGGAAAGACCCAGTTCTCTGAGTGCATGTTCTGGAAGTTGGGCAATAGGGGCAGTACAGGATTCCTATTGGTGTACCGACCTCCCCGCTGCACCAAGGATTCCCTGCCCGAGCTGCTTCAGGTCGTGGCGGATGTCCTCCTGGAGACACCTAGTTTGGTTGTCCTAGGGGACTTTAACATCCATGCCGACATGACCTTACAAGGGGCCGCTCGGGACTTCGTGGAAAGCATGGCCTCCATGGGGCTGTCCCTGAATAAGTCTGGCCCAACTCATAGCCACGGGCATGCCTTAGACCTGGTGTTCACCTCTATGGATGTTGGTGATCTGACATTAAGTAAAAGCAAAACCAAAGAAGTGCCATGGTCAGATCACTTCCTGGTGCAACTGGACTTCTCCGTGACCCTCCCCTCTGCAGGGAGGCGGGACCGATTCAGATGGTCCGCCCCCGCCACTTAATGGATCCAAATGGTTTCCAGAGAGTGGTAGGGGATGTTTTATCCCATGTTGATGGCCTTTCAGCTGATTCCATGGTGGCCCGCTGGAATGTGGAGTTAACCAGGGCTATTGACTGTTTGGCTCCAAAGCGCCCTCTCCGATTGCATGGAGTCCGGACAGCCCCGTGGTTTTCCACGGATCTGAGGGCAATGAAACAATCGTTGAGACGGCTAGAGCGCCGGTGGCGGATAACCCATTCTGAATCTGACCGGACACGGGTTAGAGCTCAATGTCGAGCCTACCAAGTGGCGATAGCGACGGCGAAGAAGACTTTCTTCACCGCCTCTATTGCATCTGCGGAAAACAGCAGCAGGAGACTCTTTCAGGTGGTTCGCAATTTAGCGGAACCACCTGCTCCATCAGGGCCCAGTAGCGGCCACATGATCTCCTGCAATGACTTTGCAAAGTTTTTGCAGATAAAGTCGCTCAGATTCGAGAAGAGGTAGACTCCACCGT